CTGGAAACTAGTTGAAGGCCTTCTCTAGATGCGTCAAAGTAAAATGGATCTGTTTCAGTCTGTTCTAGACTTTTCTTCCGTCTCCTGGCTCTGCCTTGTTGGCTGATTGAATCTGGATGTCCCGGAACAGACACTGAAATGGTCACTTTCCTGCCCAAGGATTTGAAAAACAATTTTCAAATAATTCTAAGTCTCTCTGCTATTCAAAATGTGTACTTGTAGTATTTTCTCTTCTGCCACATTTCTATAGCTCTAGTCATCTCCATTTCTAGCTGCACAATCCTTCATCACTTCAGGAGCTTCACTGTACCTCTGTTGTACTCTGAAAAGTGCCTCCACCAGTGGCTTACTCCTTGGGAGAGACACTCTATGACTTCATGCCACTGATTCTCTCCGTTCTTTCTGCTCCAAATTCAGCCTTGGCAGTTTCAGTGGCAGAGAGAAGCAGTCTTTTTTTTTTTTTTTAAAGATTTTATTTATTTATTTGACAGAGACACAGCGAGAGAGGGAACACAAGCAGGGGGAGTGGAAGAGGGAGAAGCAGGCTTCCTGCCGAGCAGGAAGCAGGATGTGGGGCTCCATGCCCTGAGCCAAAGGCAGAAGCCTAAGGACTGAGCCACCCAGGTGCCCCAAGAGAGAGGCAGTCTTACCCACTTTAGTTTTGGGTAGGAAGAACAAGATCAAGAGTAAATACAGAAACACAAAAACTCACCAGTCTGGATATTAAAGAGTTGTGCCCTTTCCCACAGAGAATGCTTGAGAGTTCCCATATCATAGAAATGTGGGATTTCAAGCACTTCCAGTATCTTTTAAACATCAGTCCCTGTGGATGAGGTTTATTAACTCACAATTTTTGCCGTATTTGCTATTCTGATCCCAGCCCACTCAATTCAAGATCCTGAGCTCTTAAGCAGTCCCCTGAGTAGCAAATGAATATCTATCTATATGCTTGTCCGAAAAATTTGGTTTGTCTTTAGTAGAGACCTTGGACCCTGAGTTTTTCTTGACTATCCTTCTTCACTGCCTCAGTCCCTGGTTATCTGTGCAATTATGATGAGATCGTATTTTGAAACATCAATCAGTGTCTACCCATATCTTGTTATCATTAAACTATTTCAAGGAAGAAATCACCTGCTCATTAGAGACTGACCTTAATTGTGTGAATTTTGATTCTTAAAACATTTCTGATTAGCTTCTATAAGAATAATATATTATTTTAAGTGCATCACAATTAAAGTATTTCTAATTCTTCTTTTTCCAGGTAATTTTAGGAATTAAATTTATAGAAGTGCTGGGGCGACTGGCTGGCTCAATTGGTGGAGCATGAAACTCTTGATCTTGGGGTTGTGGGTTTGAGCCCCACATTGAATGTAGAAGATTACTTAAAAATAAAATCTTTTAAAAAATTTATAGAAGTGCTAATATATCATTATAAGCCACTCAGAACACAGCTCCTTTAATAAAACCAACTTCATAATTTAACTTATTAATGTCTTCCATAAGTAGGATATCTCATACATAATGAGAGATAAAGCTTTCCATGAATAACAGACACATAGACACACAGACATATGAGCTTATGGCTTTGATTCTACAATTTCAACCATGGGACAAGAGTCATCACGGAAGCACAAAAACTCACTAGTCCAGATACCAAAGAGCTCTTCTTCCCAGTGGGCACAGAATTCTTGAGTTCATAATATACAAACAGAAAGAAAATAGAAATAGATCTCTCACTCAAGAGAAAACAGATCTCTAGAAATCACTAATCCTTTTACAAAGATCACCAAATGGTCAGACCATATTACCAAGTTGCTGATTACTGCTGCCACTAGAGGAACATAATCTATTGTCAATATACAAACCAAAATACAAAACTGGTGGAGAACAAAATTAAAATTAGGAAAACAGAGATTTAAAAAAATTCTCTTGAGGGGCGCCTGGGTGGCTCAGTGGGTTAAAGCCTCTGCCTTCTGCTCAGGTCACGATCCCAGGGTCCTGGAATCGAATCCCGTGTCGGGCTCTCTGCTCAGCAGGGAGCCTGCTTCCTCCTCTCTCTCTGCCTACCTCTCTGCCTACTTGTGATCTCTGTCTGTCAAATAAATAAAATAAAATCTTTAAAAAAAAAATTCTGTTGAGGGGTGCCTGGGTGACTCAGTTGGTTGAGCGTCCATCATCTCCTGATCTCAGCTTGGGTCTTCTTTCTTTTTTTTAAGATTTTATTTATTTGAGAGTGAGTGAGAGAGAGCGAGATCACGAGCAGGGGGTAGGGGCAAAGGGAGAAGCAGAATCCCCACTGAGCAGGGAGCTCAGCACAGGACTTGATGCCAGGACCCCAGGATCATGACCTGAGCTGAAGCCAGACACTCAACCAACTGAGCCACCTAGGCGTCAGCTTGGGTCTTGATCTCAGGGTTGTGAGTTAGAGCCCCATGTTGGGCTCTGCACTGGGCACAGATCCTACTTAAAAAAAAATAATAATAATTAATAAAAAAAATTCTGTTATGCTTCAGATTCACCTCTGGAAGCAAGAAAACAAATGCCTGGACTTGACAATCCATGAGGCACACCTCTTTGGTCATAAGTTCATCTGATTCTGTCAGATGAATACATTGGGCATCTTGATGAGAACTGCAAAACTGTTACAGGATAATTCTAAAAAGAAAAAAGAAAAAGTAAAGTCATACAAAATGATTTTATTTAACTTTTTGAATAAGGGATCCAGAGAGATGTTGCAGTCTGTTCCAGAAGAATCCAAAAAGCAGATGCTTTACAAATCAATAACATTGACCTTCCAAATGGATGCAAAACTGGATTTTCTACAGAGGAGGAGAGCTCTCCCCCCATTGAGAATAATTTACTCACATGTTTATAGATAATAATCATTTGAATTATCATCACTTCTTAACAAGTTAACATTAATCACTACAGAATTCAAAAATAGTCATTCAAGATAAAGGTGAGTATCTTTTAGGATCAAACAATCCTCCAAACAAATCCTCCAGCAATGTAACACCCATTAATCTCTTAATTATTTCAAAGTGCTACATTTCTCTTTACACATCACAAACCAGAGGATATAGGATGTACTAGAGGGGGAAGTTTCTGTTCATTCACAGATCTGCTCTAATTCTGGTCCTGTGTTAACCATTCGTTCAAAAATATCTTATCTACAATCTATTGTATACTTAGCACAGCACTAGGTAGGGTAGATTTTGAAAATAATGAGTCATCATCCTTGCTCATAAGATACTTACAATCTTATTACAGAGCTAAGACCTATGAGATACCAATCAATACATTTAATAAACCAGAAATTAGGGCTATATTGAATAGAAATACATCTGCCCAGCACTATTCATTTTTTATGTAGTTGTGAATTTTGCCTATCTACTAAAATGTACATGTAACTCCAAATCAATACTTGCAAGTGCTGGGTTTTTTTGTTGTTTTTGTTTTTGTTGTTTTGTTGTTTTGGGGGGGTTTTTTTTGAGAGAGAGAGAGAGAGAGAATCTTAAGCAGTCTCCACACTCAGCATGGAGGCCCACCGGGGGCTCAATTTTACAAACTGAGATTGTGACCTGAGCCCAAATCAAGAGTCTGATGCTTAAGGGACTGAGCCAACGCAGAGTGGTGAAAAATTGTTGTCCAACCTGCATGTTCCCAGGTAAGGTTGAAGGAAACAAAGCTTGCCTTCTTGTTTCAGCTCTCACACTATAAAAAGTGTTCTCTTCACAGTCTATTTTAGTACCATGTTTTTCACATTTTTGTGCTTTTTGTTGATTCTGCTATCTAAAATGGCCCCCCAAGGGTGCCTGGGTGGCTCATTCTTTAAGCCTCTCTGCCTTGGACTCAGGTCATGATCCCAGGGTACTGGGATGAGCCCAGCATTGGGCTCTCTGCTCAGCCGGAAACCTGCTTCCCCCTCTCCCTTTCCCACTCCCCCTGCTTGTGTTCCCTCTCTGGTAGTGTCTCTCTCTCTCTCTCTCTGTCAAATAAATAGATAAAATCCTTAAAAATAATAACAATAAATTGGCCCCCAAGTGCAGTTCCGAAGTGCTGCCTGTTGTCGCTGAGCACGGGACGTCTGTGATGTGCCTTGCAGAGAAAATGCATGGGTTAGATAAGCTTCACTCATGCCTGAGTTATAGTGCAGCGTTATGTTATGTACCGATTAGGTGACTAAAATGTGACCAGAGGCTCAGGGGAACCCCCATATTTCCACCTGAGGCAATGGTTCAGTATTTGCTAATTCTGTATTGGCAGTAACTTTAGAGAACATAACTACCGCAAATGATGGCAATCAACTCTATACTGAGCGAAAATGTTTTTCAAATGCATTAGATTTCCTCATTAACATAGAACTATAAACGCCTTCCTGATAAATTACTCCACTGCTCTCCCAAAGAGGCTGCAAAAGCAGTGATTCCGCCTCCCAGTACCCTTTCCCCATTTCCCCAGTTGATTCCTCCTTCTTTAGTTTCCTAAGCGGAAGTCTCCGCGTAAATAATGCTTTCCAATAATCTAGAGTTCTATACTAAATTTGAGAAAAGACACACACACACAGACACTTAAAAGTGACCCCTGGGGATGTGCTCCCACAAAATTAAGTGCAAAAATCCCTGGTACCACAGTTCTACGGTAACACAGAGAAGGGTATTTCTCCACCTCGGGCATCCGCCTTTCGAGTCTCCCAAGATCATCATAAACATACGTTAAAACATATATATATTTTTTTTCTTCTTTGCTCTCACGCAACCACCCCATACCCTCCCGCAGGCCTTCACAAAGCTGTTCAGCCCTTAGGTTAGCTCTTGTTCCTTTAAGACAGAGGTCGGCTGTTTGCCCTATTCTGAAATGGCTGCGCAGGTTTCCCCACCCTCTGCGCATGCTACTTGAATCCAACTCGGGATTGAAGCAATTCGGAGGCTTTCGCGGCGCAAGATGGGGACTTGGCGGCGGGCGAGGCTGAACCTCCCAGCATGCCTTGCAGCCGGCCCGGACTCCCGACGTCTAGTGATGGGGAAGCCCTGGTGCTTTCGGCCGCCCGATCGGGTGTAGAGGTTGAGGTTGAGCCCCGGGCACGGGAATTGGACGCCCGCAGAGGGGAAGATGGAAGCGTGGCGCTGTGTGAGGAGGGGCTACGGCCGCTGTGTGGTGGGGAGAGGCCGGTCAGTAGGGCTGGGAGGGAGGAGCGGAGGCGGGCGGCCCGGGTTAACCCGGGGCGGGGCGGGCTGGGGGAGGAAGGAGGAGGAAGAGGGTCCGGGCGGCGGTGCCGCCGGGACGAGCCTCCGGAGACCCCGAGGGATAGGTAAACCCGACGCGCAGCCGGCGGGGCGCTCGGCGGACGGGGGCCGGGCCGGGCCGGGTTCGGGGCGGTCGATCGCCGGCAGAGCTCGTGCCTTTCCGTCCCGGCTGGGCCTTGGAGCCTCGGCCCACTTCCCCTGCACTGCCTCGACCCAGCCTGAGCCCCCGGGTCGCGGGCCTTCTGCCAGGCCTCAGCACCCGCCGGGATCCGAGCGTCTGCGGGGAGGGTAGGTCCCCGGGCGGCCTGACCCCGAGGGCGGCGCGCGCGTCGCACTCACACCCGGGGGTTTGTTGTTTGTGGTGTCAGTGTGTCTCACACTTCATTTGTATACCAGCCTTTACGGTTTATTACCAGATTCTCCTTCCACACCTGTGTGTACTACATTTTTTTCTTGAAATTGACTTTTCTTTTTTTTTTTTTTTTAAAGCATTTCAATAATGCTGCCTGTATTAGCGTCGCCCTAAGCAGTATCCACGGAATCTTGGGTTTGACGTACTCATTATGGGCTTTTTCTAATAAATACTTAGATGTGAAAAGTCAAAAAGTTTTATTGTGTACCATGCGAAATGGACTGGTGTACCTCACCTGGGAAACACAACACTGTATTAATTATTATATAAGTCATGGGGATCTGGTTTTAATCTCCTACAGTCGGGGGCTTGATCACAATTCAGCTCAGCAGTGTTTTCCTGAGTACCAGCTGTGTGCCAGGCACTGTGCTAGGCACTTAAGGAGAGACCAGAATTAAAATGAATAAGAAGGCTCTGGTCTTGAAGGAGCTCATCATCTTGAGAAAAAGACATCTATATAAGTTACTGTGAATATAGACAATAAGTTTTGTGGCACGAGTATTGTATTTCAATATCATGGCCTGTTAGAATAGAAAAAGTGTGGAGCGAGCACCTAAATCTCTATGCCTTTCAGAGTTGTCACAAAGCAGAATAGTCTGCCCATGTCATGCTTTTTAAAGATTTACAGTTAAGTTGAATTTAGAGAACAATTTGAGAATGCATAAACAAAAATATATCATAAAAATTAAAATGCCTTTAAAATGAATATATAAAAGTCAAATAACGGTAAATACAGTTTAAGCAAAATTTCTTCATTGGTAAAAGTGGACATTATTAACACTGTCTTGGAATTGTACCTTTAATAAGTTCTAGGAAAGGACAGAAGTCCTCTGAATCCAAGATTTTGCCAGAATAGTATGGTAAGAAGATGGTGCTTAAGGTGCATTGTTTCTTAAGAGAGCCCGAGAGCAACACATTTATTCAAGTTAGTGGTAACACTACTTTGGATATATTTTGGATGATCAGTAAATTGGTGCTGTTGGGTTTGAAGTACTGGTGAATTATTAATAAGTAATCGCTATCCCATTTCATTTCCTTCAAGGAGAAGCATGCCTTTAAAAAAAAATGAAGGTCGAAAAAATAAATTACCCACCTACTGATTAGCAAGAGAGGTCATTTTGTGAAGTTGGGATAGGTTTTTGTTTTCTTAGCTCTGCAGATATTTGGAAAATGGAATCTTGCTATAAAAAGCTGTTCAGAAGCATGTTTCTGTCTACTCCAAACCCAAGTTGCAGGAGAGATGCACTTTCCTTGTACTCAGCTTAAGTGTTCTACATTGAATCAAGTATTACATTTGCTGTGGATTTTATTTATCCATACAGTTATTAGATACTAGAAAGCTACTCTGAAAACCATTCTGATGGTTGGTTAATCTCTCAGGTGAACTGACGACTTTTTGAAGCGTGTTTGGTATTTTGGGAGGCTGGTAGATTCTGTTAAGTATTTTGAATGCCATTCATAGGTGCTGAGGGAGAGTTTTGAGATGTTGCTACTAATAATTAAATCATAGCTGCCCCCCCCATCCTTCATGATTTAGAAGTCAGATTTTAAATATTAGACATTATCTTCCCTTGAGGAAACACATTTGGATTTTGGGTGCTATAGCGTGAACAAATAGTGGTGCCTCAAGGAGTGTATTTATTTCTTTTAGATACCCCATGTTACCCCATCACCAGAAGAGTCTGGCCAGAGATTGGACGACACCGTGGGAAAATCTGCAAAGGTGTTGCTGGAACAGGCATATTTCTAGTTGTATGAGGTGGCCTGGACATTATTCTCGTGCTCCTTACCCCTACTTCAGTAGTAGGCATTTTTCACTAAATTGGAGACCACCTTGTTTATTTGAGTCTAGAACTCCGTTTCAGTACTGGAACTGGAGACCTGACAACCTGAGCCAGACCTCTTTGATTCATCTCTCTAATTACATCATGAACTCTGAGGGAGATGAGCCTTCATCAAAACGAAGAAAACACCAAGGTAAAGGTGACATTTATCTTGGTGCAGAAATAGAAGCCATAGAATTATTAAAACTTTACTTTCTAATAATCCTTAAAACCTCCTCCAGATTTTGTAGGGGTTTAGTATTTATTTTCAGCCAGTAGTTTTCTGTTAGGAAAAAGGCAATGATTTTTTAAAATTAAGTCTTTATTTATATCTATTTTTATCTTTTATTATGTATTTCTGGCAGTAAATATAGAAGAAACTATATAGAGAGAGAATAAGACTGGGAAGGAATATAGGACTAAACTAAAACATTAATTTAAGAATAATAAATCCATTGTTTTTAAAACAGAGGTCCTTAGACTTCTTAGAAATTGGTATATGTTTTTGGGAGTCCACATATCTATTTTAAAAAATTAAATTTAAGCGTTTTTTAAATTTATTTTTTTTGACAGTTTTATTTGTAAGTAATCACACCCAACATGGGACTCTAACAACCCCAAGGTCAAGAATTACATGCTCTTGGGGCACCTGGGTGGCTCAGTGGGTTAAGCCTCTGCCTTTGGCTCAGGTCATGATCTCAGGGTCCTGGGATCGAGTCCCGCATCGGGCTCTCTGCTCAGCAGAGAACTTGCTTCCTCCTCTATCTCTCTCTCTGCCTGCCTCTGTGCCTACTTGTGATCTCTCTCTGTGAAATAAATAAATAAAATCTTTAAAAAAAAAAAAAAAAGAATTACATGCTCTACCAACTGAGCCAGCCAGTTTAATGCTAACTTTTTTGTGTAAGACAAAAAGATATTCTTAAATAGACACAATCATAAATGAAAGATATTTTCTTACAGAATAAGATTTTAGCTTATTCAGTATATTTCTCATAATGGGTTCTATTGCTATAATCTTGAGACACTATGGGAAGTTTTATCTTTTATTTATTTATTTTTTTAAGATTTTATTTATTTATTTGACAGAAAGAGAGAGATCACAAGTAGGCAGAGAGGCAGGCAGAGAGAGAGGAGGAAGCAGGCTCCCCGCTGAGCAGGAAGCCCAATGTGGCTGGATCCCAGGACCCTGAGATCATGACCTGAGCCGAAGGCAGAGGCTTAACCCACTGAGCCACCCAGGTGTCCCAAGTTTTATCTTTTAATAAGGGAACAACTTTTTAATCAACTTTAAGAAATAATTGTTTTCTAAACATGTTGATCATTTCTAGTTTTGTCATATTCTTTTCACTCCAAACAATTCACGAGACTCCTTTTATGCTGCCAGCCCTGCTCCTCCCCCAAAGTGTATATGAATCATCTTGGTAGAATTTTGAGTTGTCGTTCTTACTGAGCTACGGTTTTCAGTGAAGATAATTCCTCTGAAGGTATTTGGAAATAGACTGTGTAGGTGTTCATGTGTAGGGAGCTCACGTAAGTTTGTCAAAGGAAAATGCTCAACGTGAGTCTCACTTGGAGGTCAGAGCTAGGTTAGCTCGAAGATTACTTAGGTCTCTTTTTTTTTTTTTTTAAAGATTTTATTTATTTATTTGACAGACAGAGATCACAAGTAGGCAGAGAGGCAGGCAGAGAGAGAGGAGGAAGCAGGCTTCCCGCTGAGCAGAGCCCAATGCGGGGCTCGATCCCAGGACACTGGGATCATGACCTGAGCTGAAGGCAGAGGCTTTAACCCACTGAGCCACCCAGGCGCCCCTACTTAGGTCTCTTTTAAGTAGAAATTCTGCTACACATTTGAGTAGAAATTTTAAGCACCGAAAGTGAAAATCTATTTGTATAATACTTGAGCACAACATGTGTTCATCAACAGATGTTCATTTGAATGAATGAAAGGTGTTAGAGACATTACAATTAGGTTCCTAGGGACAATCAACTCTATAACCTATAAATCTAGGGCTGTATGAAGTCGTGAGATTACTGTTCCTTCCGTAGTCGTTGTTCATCAGGTCCATGCACTACTCTCTGGTTTAGCCTTTGGTACATCTGCTGTGCTGTCAGGTGGAGCTGTGGCATGCTGACAAAAGCCCGGGCTCTGGAACCACTCCCTGCTCTCATTCTGCTCCACCACTAATGGTGTGAACTTGGCCAGGTCATGGGACCTCTCTGCTCCTTGGTTTCCTAGTGTGAAATAATGCCTACTTTGAAAGCCTGTTGAGGATGAAATGAGACCTGTCGAAGTGCCTAATACACTGTCGGCTTCATAGTAGGTACTCAGAAAATCGTGATGGTGTTGTTTTCCCTTTAACACTTGGGGAATTACAATTTACATACTGATAAACTTTGATTGCGACCTGACTCTTTATATGTCCGTTCTTCCTAGGTATTGTGAATAAGGAAAATGCTCTTCGTTAAGCCATATTTGTGACTTCCGATAATTCACTAACACTTGTCCATCAAGAGAACAGCCTTCTAACTTGCCTGTCACTTTAAAGTGGCATTTGAAGGATTTGTGTGACACAATTATGACTTTTTAATTAGGCACCCTAAAAACCTGATCAGGCCTATTGCTTACTTTCTTTGATTCATCTGTCTTCTCTGCTGTGATCACCTTGTTCCTCCTGACATGGAAGGTATATAAGCTTTTGTAGTGTGAATTTATGTTGTGAAGTATATGAAGGCCAAAGACTGTCATCTCTATCAGTCGTCTTCAGATTGTCTTCCATGGAACCCTAGCATTCAAACACATATGTGTATGTTTATTAAAAACAAATGTGGTCAGGAGAAAATATGTATTTACCCCCATCATCCCAGCCCCAGTGTACCAGGATCTGATGGTCATGACATGTTTCAAAATGTAACTGCAGAAAGAGTTGGCTTACAAACACTTGTCAGGACAATACAATCTCAATGCATTTTTGTGCCCTTCCATACACATATTTCACAAGAAAATATGCACAACTTTTCTGGACCTTCATCTTTCATACTTTAATGTGGTGGTGACACCAGGGTAGGGCTGTAACTGTGATGGTCGCTTGCATTGTGTTTGCATGACTAGAGCCCTTTGCATCTCGTATACGTATAAAGACTATGATTTGGGGCTAAAACCATCAGAGACAGTCCCCAGTTTATGAATGAATTGTGTTCTGGGTAATACAGTTCTTGAGAATCAGTTGCTGACCATCTGTTTCCGTTTTCCCCATGGAAACTGTTACAAATCTCCAGGTAGTCCTACGGAGTCAGTGCAGTTAGCTGTAGTTCCGGGCCTTTTCAGTAGGATTCTCCATATTCAGTGAAGGATGCAGAAGGGGATAGTTTCCATCCCTTTCCTGGGTATAGGACAAGCTCCAGGCTAAGTTCTTTAATCCCGGATGGCTTTGGTTTGGTTTAGTTTTCTTTCCGTCCATCTTTTTTTCTTAACCCTTCTCCTCAGGCTCTTAGTACCTTCATGGTATCGTAAGTCTCCAGCACCCCTGATCCACCCAGACCTCAGTATTCATAAAAATAATCTTCCTCTTCTAGCCTCTGGTCAAAATGTCTATTTCTTCCATGCAGCTGCTTTCAGCATTTAGATATTGAGAAAATCAATCTTATTAAACTCATTTACCAGAGGGTATTATAAAATTTCACTTTTGGTCTTTTTTCCCCGTATGTATAGAATTATTTTTCCTCAATTTAATTTTTAATTGGTAGAATCTTAGGCACTGTAATCCAGTAAAGTGAAAACCTGCATGCAGGAAAAGGGAGATATTCTAGGGCTGAGGTTTTTCCTGCTTGAAAACCGATCTCCAAATCTGTTTTCCCAAGTTCTTCTCATGTCTTGTTTTCCCCTTCTGTTGAGCTCCTAGAATCTCTAAAAGTTCCACATGTTTCTTCATGCCTTCCATGGCAGTGAGAGTATCCTCCTTCATGGTGGGGTGAGGAAGATAAGATCAAAGGGGCGTGTGTGTGTGTGTGTGTGTGTGTGTGTGTTTGTAGGTCATTTCTAAGTCGAGGACTGCCTGTAATTGCAAAATCTCATGCTTTTTGATTCTCTTTTTTCATCACTGGGCCCAAGTACATGTGTCTTTGCAGAATGTAAACCATTTCTGGATGCTGCATGCTGGGTTCTTCGACCAGCCCTTGTCATTGACTAGCGTCCTACAACTACGTTATCTTCAACATTTGCTTTGGTGTGCGTTAAAAAGATTTCTTCTGTTCATTTTGTCTGCATTGTTCCACTAAATACACTTCCATATATTGCCGTCATACATCCTTCAGTCATGTCTAAACCGGAATTCTGAGATGAGTTATTTCTAGAGCTTAATCATTTGATAATCTTATCTTACTAATAGGAAATAAACTACGGTGTGAAATCATCTTATTGAAAACCCAACTGTGACATACAAATACAGTTGACCCTTGAACAAGAGTCGAACCGCGTGGCTCTCTGCGTAGGCAGAGAGGCAGGCAGAGAGACAGGGGGAAGCAGGCTCCCTGTTGAGCAGAGAGCCAGATGCTGGGCTCGATCCCGGGACCCTGAGACCATGACCTGAGCCAAAGGCACAGGCTTAACCCATTGAGCCACCCAGGCACCCCTTTCTTTATGATTTTAATAAATTTATAAATAAATTTATAATAATATAAATATAATAAACATAATTTACAATATAAATATAATAAAGTAAATTTATAATTTATAAATAAATTCATAAATAAAAAGAAAATAATATTTTCTTCAGCTTACTTTATTGTAAAATACAGTATAAAATACATATAACATACAAGTTATGTGTTAATCGACTCTTTGTTATTGGTAAGGCTTCCAGTCAACAATAGACTATTAGTAGTTAAGTTTTGAAGGCGTCAAAAGTTTTATGTGGATTTTCAACTGCACAGTGCCCTTAACCCTCCCCTCCACCCCCGCATTGTTCAATGGTCAACTGTACGTTATCATGGTTATGAAGTTGCTGAGCATGTCTGGCAGAGCCACTTCTTAACCGTAAGTAAGTGAGAAGCTATATTGTCTTAACTTTATTAACACTCTCTCAATCTCCAAAATGACCTGCTAACTCCTTTTAATCTTGTTTTATACCTGTTGGTCAGTCATTGTATCATTTTACTGCCTTCGTAATTAATTTGATGACAGCTTCCAGTTTCATAGCGCTATGTTGCCATTTCCTAGGGGAAAACATTCTGTTCATTGCCTGTGGGAATTTTTAAAAGGCAAGAAAAACCTCATGCCGGAAAGTATTTGGTCATTTTTCATTAATTCTTTATATTTTGTTCAATATATTTTAACAGGCACAATACAACGACATTGGGAATATATATGTAACCATAATAAAGACAAGACGAAGATCCTAGGAGACAAAAATGTTGACCCCAAATGTGAAGACAGTGATGACAAGTTTGACTTTTCAGTGATGTCCTATAATATACTTTCACAAGATTTATTGGAAGACAATTCACATCTCTATAGACACTGCCGGCGGCCAGTTTTACACTGGAGTTTTAGGTTCCCCAATATCCTGAAAGAAATTAAACACTTTGATGCAGATGTAAGTGCAGAATATCATCAAAATTCTTCGCATAAGAAAAGTTCATTTGTGAACTAAATGGGTTTTACCCCTTTTGTCTGTGGGTTAAGAAGGGAAGATGGTTTTAAATATAGTGATGGGACAGTTTTTAACAATGTATCGTGACTTCCAAAGCATCATTTGCGAATGGTTGTTGGTGTAAATAATCATTAAATTTTCAAAAAAGATCCAAAAATTTCTGCTTGCCAGTCAGTTTTGAAAACAGAGACTGGCAGTGTATTAAATATTCAGTAAGTACTTCCATTGATTTAAAATGTAAGTCATTCCTCTAAAAATCTAGATACATTCAAAGAAATCACCTTGAGAAAGGACTAGAAGGATTTAGTACTAAAGAACTTTGTAATTCAGGAAAAAGAATTCCAACATGTAAATTTAAAATACTTCTTTTGGGAAATACCAGTTTTGGATGGTAAGAGAGAGAGTTCCATGTAATTAAAGGCCAGGTTTTGGGGGACTGATCAAATTTGGAATATCAATTTGATAGTTTCAAGAAAAAAGACTTAAGTCTTTTTATTTCAACTTTCATTAGGTTTTTAGAATTTTAGCAGCCTATTTTTAAAGATGAAAGCATCAGAAAATTCATATTTGCTCTCTGTTTTAATTCAAGCCATTTTTTCCTTCCAAGGTACTATGTTTGCAAGAAGTTCAAGAAGATCATTATGGAGCAGAGATCAGGCCAAGTTTGGAATCTTTGGGTACAATGTAACTTTATTTTAGCCAGATTTACTTTGAAAGATTTGTGTGTTGTTAAACTATAACATGCTAACAATGATGTATAGTGTATTTAGGCAAAGAAAAAAGTCTTAATTTTGAAAAAACTTAGTACCCATTTCAAAAGGTCAGGAAAAGATTGAGGTATTTTTTTTTTAATTTTATTTTTTATAAACATATAAGATTGAGGTATTTTAAGTGGGAATTTTGGGGTTGATATATAATTTATTTATTTATTTATTTTTAAGATTTATTTCTTTTGGGGGTGAGGGGCAGAGGGAGAGAGACTCTTATGCAGGTTCCGTGCTGAGCCTGCTATGGGGCTTGATCCCACAAGCCTGAGATCACGACATGAGCCAAAACCAAGAGTCAGATGCTGACTGACTACCACCCAGGCACCTCTTGATAGATAATTTTAATTCAAACAGAAAAGTATGTAAGAATCTCTTAATTAGATTCCTTTCCAGGAGTTGCTGTACCCACCACTAGACCCCCAAGTTTCCGAGTTCCTTATCAGGGACCATTGTGTCTGGTTCATCATTATAACATCAGTGTCTACCAGTAACAAACGAGTAGAAGCTAAAAACCTGTTTGATGACTGAACACTTCGAGAAACAGTTCATCTATTTAAGAAATGCTGCCTACTTTGCATTCATTCTTCGCAAATATTTTTTGAACGCCTGCTGTATCCTGTGTACTGTTCTAGGCTGCGGTGATCTAGCAGTGAGCCACATAGATAAGTCTCTGTCCTTCCAGACTATGGAAATAGCAAAGCAGAGACCCTGGGATAGAAGTGCCTTAAGGCAGGTGGTGAAATGTGTGGGGAGTTGAGCAAGAAGGGAAGAGGCAGAGGCAGAAAGGTCAGAGATGGGCTGTCGGGGGGCTGGGCAGTGTAGATGATTATAAGGCCTTACTGTCTTTGTCACAACTTTGACTGGGATGGGAATGAGACCATGATCATGCACGTTTTAGCCTATTTAAGACTGGAGTCAGCGAGGAAAGAGACCGAGTCTTAGGACCTAGACCCTATCTCAAACTTAACATCCTGCATTATTAATGCTTGGGAGAAGACACTTTGATAAATATTGTTCAGAGGTATTAGGAGAGTTATGTTTTGCCATATATGCTTATATGGCAGACCCTGTGTTAAATTTCTTTCTTCCTTGTAGGTTATCACTGTGAATACAAGATGCGGACAGGAAGGAAACCTGATGGCTGTGCCATATGCTTCAAACATTCCAAGTTTTCACTCTTATCGGTGAACCCAGTGGAATTCTACCGCCGTGATGTTCCTCTGTTGGATAGAGACAATGTTGGATTAGTGTTACTTTTGCAGCCCAAAATTCCGAGTGCTGCCTCTCCTGTGATCTGTGTAGCTAACACACATCTGTTGTATAACCCAAGGCGAGGTGATATTAAGCTGACCCAATTGGCAATGCTTCTGGCAGAGATTTCCAGTGTCGCCCATCAGAAAGATGGCAGCTTCTGCCCTATCGTTATGTGTGGTGACTTTAATTCTGTTCCTGGTTCTCCGCTCTATAGTTTTATAAAGGAAGGAAAATTGAATTATGAAGGACTTGCCATTGGCAAGGTAAGTGCTTGCTTCGTCATCATTAGGAGGCGGACTTAGTCCCTCTGTTCATCGTAGTGCGAGGATAGTCCTCACTGGCTGTTTGAAAACCTTGGGTTCCCAGTACCCTTGCTTTACCAAGCTATGATGATGTTCCCCAACTACTAATAAGTAATGATGCTCAGTTGGTTGAATTTCATCTTTTCCATCTGTTTATGGCAGCATTCTGCTTAGAGGAGTTGGCAGGTAGCAAAAAATCCAAAGTGGGGGAGAAGCAGAAAAATAAAAGCATTGATAGACATTAATACTTTGTAAATAAGGAACTACTCATAAGGGGGCGTGTAACAGAATTTTGAATGCTGGATGTGGGCAATATAGTTGGCAAAATAGTCATTTAGTATTTCTTTATTTACATTTTCCTTTTCATAATGCTAAATATTTTAATTTCTTAGCTGACTATATCCCATGTTTTATCTTCATTGTGCTTTTTTTTTTTTTAAAGATTTTATTTATTTATTTGACAGAGATCACAAGTAGACAGAGAGGCAGGCAGTGAGAGAGAGAGGGAAGCAGGCTCCCTGCTGAGCAGAGAGCCCTGTGCGGGACTCGATCCCCGGACCCTGAGATCATGACCTGAGCCGAAGGCAGCAGCTTAACCCACTGAGCCACCCAGGCGCCCCTTCATTGTGCTTTCTGTTGCTTACTTCACATCATTCAGTCTTCAGGATTTTAACCAAAATAAACTCTCCACCACTGAGGTTTGAGTGATAGTTCTAAAATTTTTTAAGAGTTGATCTCCCTTAGTATTTTAAATAATAGTTATATAAAATATGTAAGATTTTACATTAATATAATTGCAAGAAAGGAAGGGCAGTATTAGTACAAAGTTATAGACCATATAGATGTCCCAATTAGAGTGACAGGAAAGGAAAATATTGCCATTTTTATGTCAGTAGTAACTGCTTTCTGAATTGTATTTGAACAAGATTTCATAAGCACAAATAATCACTTACTATGATGAATAATGGGTAGTGCCATTCTTGGATTTCCTCTTATTTAAGACATAAACTTTTCAATACAGAAACTATTTAAAATCTATTCACTTAAGATACCTGTTGAAATTTTGTTTAGGTATCTGGCCAGGAACAGTCTTCACGGGGACAAAGAATTTTATCTATTCCCATTTGGCCCCCAAACCTAGGTATCTCACAGAACTGTGTGTATGAGGTACAGCAGTTACCAAAAGTAGAAAAGACAGGTAAGTGTTCGTAGTACATTTTGGCAGTCTCCTTGATAATAGTGTTCCCTTTGAAGACATAAAACTAAATTTTTCAAGGGATAACATCTCAGGGATGAATTATAAAAAACATAATACTTACTTGCTTAGTCCTTTTCTTAATGAACTCTAAATTTACCATTCTTAAGTTGACCTTCCAAAATTATCTGCATGAATTACTTGCATGTTGCTTTGGATATGTTTGCATTTCAGTTTTGCTAATTATGGAGGCCATCAAAACATAAAGGTTCCCTGATGGAACATTTAACTAGGCATCTATCTAAACTAAACATGTCTTGAATATCATTCCTAGAGTAAGAGGACTATTCTATGGAAAACTAGAACAAAACAATATATTGAAAGTTTAATATATTTCTCTTTGTTCCAATAGACAGTGATCTGACACAGACAGAGCTGGACAAAACAGAGGTCCTAGTGACAGCTGAAAAGTGAGTTCTGGAAAATAACAGTAGACATTCACTGACTTAAGTTGGATAAAAAATTTATTTCTCAAAAACCACTTGGATAAAAAATGAGAAGGATGTTTTCCCATGCTGGTGAAGAATGCTGGCTCCTCAGTCAAGCTGGCTCCTCAGTCAAACAGACCTGAGTTCCTAACTATGCTACATTTTGGATGTGTGATTCTGAGCAAGAAGCTTAACATTTCTGAGATTCAGTTTCCTTGTCTTTACTTCGGGTACTTGGGAGGACTGCATGAGACAAAGCATGAAAAGCTTGGTGTTCGGTTCATAGTAAGGGCTTAAGCAGTGTTATTTATAGCAAAGAGCCTGTCCGTGGACCTGGACTAGCTAGTACTGTGAAATACATTGCTATTACATATATTTTTTTAAAGATTTTATTTATTTATTTGACAGATAGAGATCACAGGTAGGCAGAGAGGCAGGCAGATAGAGGGGGAAGCAGGCTCCCTGCTGAGCAGAGCGCCCAGTGTGGGGCTTGATCCCAGGACCCTGGGATCATGACCTGAGCCGAAGGCAGAGGCTTAACCCACTGAGCCATCCGGGCACCCCTGCTATTACATATTTAAACAAAGGTCAGGATCACAGAAAAATACCTTTCAGATTTCAAGAGGATGCTTAGCCTCCTTTGACTTACTACGTCTCAAAATAATCTGCAGGAGAATTGATCCAAAAAAGAATATGCCAGTATAAATATTTATATTTAAATTATATAGTTTACATAAGTATTTATAACTCTTGAACTACAGGGAAAAGTTACCAAAGGTGGAAGGGTGAAGATGCCTGGATTCCTTATTATTAGTAAAGAAGCATGAATATTTGGGGCTATGGTTGAAAAATAGATGTATGTGAATACAGCAGGATAGAGATTTAAATCTTGTCTCTGGGAGATTCTTAAAATGTTTTGATTTTATATTGTGGCTCTTTTATTAATTTTAATTTTTGTTTTAACATTTGCATTTAGGGACCAATTAGAATCCTCTCTTATTCATTTTATCTGCTTCTCCGTCTTGTTTTTATTTTGTATACTATGTGTTGAGAAAATATTATCTCATGTAAAAACCTAGTAAGATAGGAAGCAACAGTTTTTGGATTTTTTAAAAAAGAATATTTAAAACTTCATGATTAAACCTTTCAAATACAGTAGAAACTTCCCTAAGATTTTTAAAGATTTTATTTATTTATTTGACAGACAGAGATCACAAGTAGGCAGAGAGGCAGGCAGAGAGAGAGGAGGAAGCAGGCTCCCTGCTGAGCAGAGAGCCTGATGCCGGGCTCGATCCCAGGATCCAGAAATCATGACCCGAGCTGAAAGGCAGATGCTTAACTGAGCCACCCAGGCGCCCTCCCTGAGTAAGATTAATAAAAAGACAAATCTAACAAATACTTGGTTTTGACTAATTCTAAAATCTTTTTATAACAAAATGAGGTATAAGATACCTTTAAGTATCTGTATATACATGTAGTGTGCTTATATGCAGAGCTTATTATCTATAAACCAAAAAATTGATAGTAAGAGAACAGTTTGAGAAAAACCTACTTTACATTTAATAAGATTGTAAATATAAATCCTTAGACATAAAACATTGCTAAAACTGGAAAGTAAGGTTATTTGGAAAGAATAACCTTTGTTCTTTGACATTGAGCTCTTTAAAAACTCTCTTTATATGTGTATATTAAGTACCTAAGATAGTGCCTGAAACTTAGTAGGTATTAGTTAAATGTTGAATTTTAAAAAGTTAAAAAAAATTTTTTTCACAATATAAAAGATCTTTAAACTTTTAAGATGTATTTATCGGAAATGATTTTTAAATTCTTCATTACAGCACATGTATTTGTAACGTGACATAAATAGAAACCATTATAGAAGCTGTTTAGGATGCAGTACAAAATTATCTGATATGTCATAGCAAGAATAATCATAGAAAAATATGGCCTGTCTGACATCAAAAGTCTGATGGGTTTTATGTGACACTCATAAAGACCACTTTTTTTCTTAAAAATACAACAAATAACTTATAAATTGTTATAGAGTGCATATTTATTAGGAAATGCAGGCTCTCAAATTTTTTTTTTTTTAAGATTTTATTTATTTATTTGACAGAGGTCACAAGTAGGCAGGGAGACAGTCAGAGAGAGAGGAGGAAGCAGGCTCTCTGCAGAGCAGAGAGCCCAATGCGGGGCTCGATCCCAGAACCTTGGGATCACGACCTGAGCCGAAGGCAGAGGCTTTAACCCACTGAGCTACCCAGGCGCCCAATAATTGAGTTTTTACCCCACGTATCACAGCCTTGATAATGGGTTTTGGGTATCACCACATGAATGAACAGAATGCCAAATTGTGGTGTGGTCTGTCTAAATAACGCTTGTCTGAATGTCTGGCTTTGTCTGGAAATTAAATGAGAAAGTGCTTTAAACAGGAAGGATTCTAAAAATCAAGAAAAACTTGATGGATGCTAAGCAATTTTTCTTTTCAATTTAGATTATCTTCAAATTTACAGCACCATTTCAGCTTGTCATCTGTTTATTCACATTATTTTCCTGACACTGGAATTCCAGAAGTGACCACTTGTCATTCCCGAAGTGCCATAACTGTGGATTATATTTTCTATTCTGCTGAAAAGGAAGATGTTGCCAGGCAGCCAGGTAAAGAATACACGTAATCTTACACTGTGCTTGAGAAGAGAGTAAGTCCAACCCCAGGGCTGAGTTTGAGAAAGTTAGCTAAACGTCTAGGTGATGTTCTAAATTTAAAAGTTAAAAAGATTTTTTTGGTAATGTATTTGAGTAAATCAGTTAATCACTTGTAAAACATGGAAGCATGAAGGACCTCAAAGCAAATTATCGCCTAAGAATTATATCCTTAGCTCCCCCTTCCAGTGCCAGTCAGCTTCCGAGTTACGGGTCTCTCATAATTGCCCTTTAGTTTTGCTTGCCGTAAATTTACTGGGTTTCTTTTTTATGTGTGTGACAGCAACATCAGGTAGTTTTGTACTTAAATTTTACTAACGCATACTGCCTTCATGGGAGGACCTTGTTGTATTGCCAGCAATGGACAGTTTTGTCATGTTGACTCTGGATCTTTCTGGAAAGAGAAGTCCATTATATGAATATGTGGTTTCAAAAAGCAGAGGTGATAAGACAGTTTTCCTTGTACGATTCAGTGAAAGTAAGGTTTTAAATATTAACCAAAGGATTTAATGTGGAGAACAGAATTTAGTTTAAAATGACTGGAAGTCAGAGAATATCATTCAGAAAACTTCACAAGTCCAAAATGTGGGCAGCTGTTCTGTCTTTTCTGATTTCCCTCCCCCCCCCCTTTTTTTGGTGCTACTTTTCTTTTCTCCTTTTTTCTTCTGCTTGTTTTCTCCTTCCTACTGAGGATAACCTTGTTAGTAATACTCTGGATGGCTTACTCCTCCCCAACTAAGATCAAGTCTATGAAATAGGCTTGCTGCTTTGAATTTGTAGTCAGGGTCTGGGAGTTGTCATGCTCTAAGTGTTCACTAGGTGGCAGGAGTGTGCCATGGACCGGCATATTATATGGTGCGGTTAACAGCAGGTCCTCTGACTCTACTGTGGGCACTGACTCTGGAACCCGTGCATACTAATTTAATCTCCAGGCACCCTGTAAACTTCCTACTCAGCTGTGGCTGGGTCTGTCTGGTTTATACAGCTATGGGATAGTTGATTAATTTCTTATGTAGTCATCAATCTCACATTACTTTTTTAAGATTTATTTCTTTTAGAGAGAGAGCGAGAGAGCATGTGTGTGAGCATGGGGGGAGGGGGAGTGGCAGAGAGAGAGATCCTAACCAGACTCTGCATTGAGCTTGGATCCCGTCGTGGAGCTGAATCCACAATCCTGAGACCACCATCTGAGCCCAAACCAAGAGTCGGAGGCTTAACTGACCAGACTGTCCAGACGCCCCTCAAATTACTTCATTTTTTAATTTTTATTATTTTTTAAGGATTTTATTCGGGACAGAGAGCATGCACAAGTTGGGGCAGAGGGAGAGGAATAGGGGCAAGCAAGCTCCCCGCTGAGAGTGGAGCCCCAGTGGGGGTTTCATTCTCAGCCCTGAGATCATGACCTAAGCCGAAGTCAGATGCTTAACTGAACTGAGCCACCCAGGTGCCCTTCAAATTACCTTTAACGTACTTATGTGTTGCACTGATATTTTCTTCTAAAGATTATTTGCAGAACTCAAAACAAATTTGAACCAGGAAAAAAAAACCCAAACATCTGAAATTGCTCTGCCTAAGAACTATAATTAGCTTATAACTCAATATGACATGTAATCATATTCTAAAAGCTGTTTCCCATTAGATTATAGAAGGTTCTGAAGAAGGACTTGTATGATTAATTTACAATACTTGTTGACACAGTTTCTCTAAACATGTGTTTCCTTAATGTAGGAGCTGAGGTTGCTCTGGTTGGTGGCTTGAAACTTCTGGCCAGACTATCACTCCTTACGGAACAAGACTTATGGACTGTTAATGGACTTCCAAATGAAAATAATTCTTCAGATCATCTACCTTTATTGGCTAAATTCAGACTTGAGCTGTGACTCTTCTTTGATTGTGTGTGTATATATACACACACACACACACACACACACACTTTCCGATTTATATTCTTTTTCAAAAAATGTAAAATATTTCTTGAGAGTTTGCATGTTTATTTTTATGCTGTGGAGTTTCTGAAGAGGTCGTGTTAACTGCTTGAAGCAGATACCAGAAGAAACAAGTTTACAACAATTTTCTTTGTAATACCGAAAAAATATTTTCCTGACAAGTGAGATCTAAACGTTTACTCCTTATTGTAAAAGAGTTGTAAATATTTTTTATTCTAAATCCCAGTAAAGTTGACAGTGATTTTTAAACATAGTGCATCCTCTTTAGTTAGTAAAGAATTTCATTTGATGTTTTTGGCAAGCTTTATGGTGGATCCAAAGTATCTTTGAGTTCGTGCAAACCACAACTCATTTCCCTTCCAGAAGGCCTGATTTCATTGTGAGGACCATCTGTTTGTTGGTCCTAATTAGTTCATCTCAGAAATCGCTCACAAGTGTCCAACCAACCATTTTAGTTTGGTTTTGAGGGGGCTTGATAATGCTTCTTAGAATTGTACAGATTGCTTAATCCGTCTTACTCCTCTCCTGAGCTGTGGACGATGTCTGCATTTTGTTGGGAGATGGAGGTCACTGTAACTAAGAGTTGAAGTGCTTTACAGACGCCCTCTTTCCATCCTGTGACAGGCAGACCATTCCAGCACGCCTGAGAGAGGCAGAGAATGGGTTAGAATGCCTTTGTTTGCCTAGCAGTTTGTGGGGGGGTTTTGTTTTTTTGTTTGTTTGTCTTTTTCTCTTCAGTTTCAAGAAGAGATCCCCGGGTCGGAGGAGAAACTTTATTTTTCTGAACCAGTTCTGTGGAAATTTATTTTATTAGGAAACTTGTCTTTAGAACAAAGTGGCAGCTATAAGATTCTTTTGGTTTCGCTCAGATATTTAGGAAGCCCATAGAACTAGTGGGGAGATACCAACTTGGAGACCTAATACTCCTAACTAGTAATTTTAACTGTCTTAGTGGTTTTGTTTCTAAGATGTTACTTTGTTTTCTTTCCTAATGAGGCAGCAGCATGATGTGGTGCTGACATTTTTTGGTAAAGTGGTCAAGAGCAAGCCTAGTGAGTCCCACAGTTGGCGCTCTGTGTTTGGTTCAAACATTTTAAAACAAAAAAGTTAACGTGTCCTCTTTTTTAGACATAAGGATCAGAAAATGATGCACATTTTTACTAAGTAGTAATTTTATATTCAATTATACTGAATTATAGAAGTTTTTACAACGGGTGTTCTTCATAGAATGCCTTTTCTGAAATTAGAAAGTAGTATTTACTCCGGGTCCTGGACTTTAAAGGTTTTTGTACTAAAGTATATTTACTACAGTTATTTTTTGAGAAAAGAAATCAAATGACTACCTGAACAAGGCGTGTAGGTTATGAGGATTTACCTATGAAAAATGATAATAAGCAAGTATTTTTAAATGTTTAATTTCTCACATTTTTGGGTTTTTACTTACAGTATTAATTGTAGTTCTAAGACTTTCCACGTTTTCTAGTAACAGTTTGCAGAATATTGTGTGCTCTAATTAACAGATATTGTCCTCATCAAATAATAGTATAATTAATCCCTTTTACTACTGGGGGAAGAAAAATGAAAATGCATTAATTACTGCTTTGTGTTATGTGAGTTTATTAACAGATCACTTTGTGTATAGGTCATTGTTGCTAAACTAGCATCTCTGAAAACCTCTGTGAAAATTTAATTTTTTATGTCCTGATCAATATATTAATTTTAGGCCCTTTTCATGTGCTTCACTTTGTAGAATAAATCCATAAAAATGCTTTCCACTTGAGCATATAGGATGTAGTATTTTGTGAACTGGAGGCCAAAGGGTCAGTGCAACCTTCTCACAGGTTTTTGAAGCTCTGCTAAAATGAACTGTCCACTTGTCTTTACTTTTTTTGGTCAGAATTGGTAACTCTGTTGGAGCCTTGTATTTACCTGCCAAAAAGCATTTAAATCTGGTTAATTGCTGAAGCCAAATCACCCCCAGGTGGAAGTGCTGTACTGGCCAAGTTTTAAAATGGAGAGAGATACTGTGGAGTAAGAAATGTTGGTTTTACGATAGCTTTTGATATCAAGATAATATGCATGTTTGAAATCTTGTCTTTTTTTTTTTTTTTTGGAATTTAGCAACTGTCGGCTTTTAACCCTTTGCTTTCCTAAAAAACCAAGTTAGAGACCCAGAGAGTTCAAGGGTTTGGGGAAACAGAGAAGTCATTTGCACTTCGTCTCTATGAATCACCTAATAAATTATTACTCTAGTGCATCTGTGCCTGGAGGTTTTGTGATAGGTGTGCTAAGTGTGTCCACTGGACTGTTGTCCCTTCTAAACTATTTCATTACCCTAAAGCCTGTATTACTTAGAGTGATGCTAACATGTAAGTGAATTCAGATGTGGCAAAACAGAATAGTGTTGAATACAGAGTCTGAAAATTGTGGAAGAAGATAAGGGTGAGGGAGTGATAAATGAGTTTACTAGGACAAGGATGTAGTAAAAGGACAAGAAAAAAATAAATCACACCCTCTTACATACATTTTGGGAAGAAAAACAATCCTTAAGTTTCCAGGATGGTTTTATTAAAGTCCCATGCTGTGTATAAACATATAAGTGATGAGAAAAACATTAACTTGAAACATGCACTTATCTGGCATTCTCTAAAATACCATTATACAACTTTCCCTTTACTTAGAAAAATACCCACCAAAACAATCACAGTTTTCCTTAAAGATTTAAAAAAAAATGTATTGGCCAGAACAAAGTCCAAGAGAATAAACAAGATTCTGAATTGTGTGTCAAAAAAACTGTACAAGGTTGTACATAAAACTATAGCTTACAAAAGCCTTGGGTGTAGTAAGAATACAGAATTAAGATTTCCAAAGTTCTATTTACCAATATCTATTAATAAAATCCTTATGAAATAATTGACTTAGAAAAAGTGAAATGCTCATGATTTCAAAGTGTATAGAAAATACTAAATATCACTTTCTGAAATAAAGTGTACTCAAAACAGCACATGGAGTCTGAAATCAAGATTTCTGTCATCCATTTAAACTTTGCATATATCACAATGGCTTAAGTGTAAAATTTCTCTAGCACTAATAACTTTAAAAACTAGATTCAAATCATCTCATAGTTTTATATTTTATTTTTTGAATAATAGCCAGTTTTAAAATTAATTTTGGGGGGAATAAATCATGTCATGGTTTTTTGGTTTTGTTTCTGCCTAAATATCATCTTAATCAAATTCCTGCGCTAGAATGGAAGAGTTCAGTACCTTTCTCAGATCTTTTAGAAATCAACATAATTCCACAGGCAATAAAGCTAGAATGAAAACTAAGAGCATTTTAAATTACTTTTCATGTTTCTGTGACTAACCCTTGCTCTGGGGGACTGAATCTTACCATCGAGAAGGGAGTGGAAAAAGAAAATCAGGTTAGTAACTGAATCACCAAACCAGCGGTTGTTTTAAGGCTTGTACGTCAGCGTCTTAGAATAGTTTGTGTTCCTATTCTTTACCCTTTTTTTGTGGGAAAAAAAGGGGCTCTGCAGCTAATGACATTCTGTATTTTGGATGGGACAGTACTTAAGTAAAACTTGGAAAATCCTAGTCTAAGCTCTTAGAAAGATCACCGTGGTATAAATGGTGAACTATTAGCAATAATAAAATTTCAGATTGGCAAACATAAGATACACATATCTTATTTTTCACAGAGAGAGCTAAGTCAGTATTGTTTTAGAACAACTCAAATATTTCAGTAGACGTGGTCATGAGGCTGCAAATGAGTTTGCCTTATGAAGAGATACAAAGATAGCTCATCTTAACTCAAACTGATACTATTTTTTTTTCAAACTGATACTATTCTTAGAGTGATTTTAGTTCAGAATTTTTAACTTCTCTCTTTTAATGTAATTGAAATGTCCACTTACTGGTCCTTTTCCCGTAAAGGATGCTAAACTTCCTCCTTTTTCAAGAAAATAATCACTTTCCATTAATGCCACTGAGTTTTAGCGTAAAGGGAGCGCACGTGCACGTGGCTGAGGGATGAGGTCACCTTCAGTGGTTTTACTGGTACAGAATCTCAGTGAGCAGATTATTTTTCTACTCCCGTTTCTAAAATCGCCTTCAGGCAAAGAAAGCCAGAGAGGAAGTCCTGGCAACTGAAATAACACTTGTGTTGACTAGCAGACTTCACGTACATCTGCGAGTTGGCCTCCTGTGTTGGCATGGCCGCCGAGCTACAACAGATGAAACAGAAGCACACTCTTGATGGTGACAACATACACACCTGCCGGGTAGAGCTCCTCCACGGCCTGCAGTCCGAAGTTAACACAGACACACTGTCCTTCACAGACTCCATCACGCTCGAAGGTAGAACCCTCTACCTGAAGATTTTTCCATTTAAAAGAATTTTCTGCTTCTCTTAATTCATCGCATTTTCCAATACCAGTTCCTAAGTCATGAAGTGGTACTTCAAAGAGAGGGACTGGAAAGGGATCACACCGTGCCACCTTTGGTCTTAATATAAGACATCAGGACCCCTCCCTGACAACAGTGAGTCCTCGGAACCAATGCCTGACTCAGAGTCTAAAACGCGGGTGGGACGTGAACAGAAAGGTTATCTGGTTCTCAAGACTGCCGATTCACTCCTGGTCTCTGCCTCTCTGAGTGTGTGGTTGCCGGAGGTCCTTGCAATACTGCTAAATGTGTGTCACAGTGCCGTGACCTCTTGTGCTTTTTTTGCTGGAGTTTGCAAAGTTTAAATGTTAGTGACAGAACACAGACTACCTTCGGATCGTGCTTTTTGTTTTGAAAGAACAAAAACCACTGTCAGTGAATGCTTTAAGAAAGATTAAGAAAGAAGTAACTCCAAGGTCCTGAAAAGAGTTTCCCGTATTGCCAGAAGAATTTCAGTGCTTTTTAGTAAAACACTTGGTATAATACCTTAATCCCATTGTATGTGTGCACCAGGAAAAAATTCCAAACTTTCTGGAGATCCCCATTGGAAGTACTGGGGAAATAATACAAATAGAATATAAAAAAACAAAACACCATTAAGTTTGCATATCTGATGTCAAGATGCTGAGGTAATATTGACTCCTTAAAAAAAAAAATCCCACCATTTTTTGCCTCTGTTATTGCTGAAAAAAGACATTAATACTGGCTGAGTTACCTTACTATATCAAAAGTGGGAGAGAGGGTTTCAGGAACATTTACTACTGGTGAGGAGGCATCATGTCCAAAAGCAAGTAAATAAAAGTAGGTCAATGGGAAGATAGAAAACTACAGTTACATATGACCCTTTCTATCTGTAATGAGGGGGACAGTCCAACCCCAGTGGGGTTTCTTCAGCCTTTTCATGGTGGCCCCTTGGTGACTTTCAACGTTAATTGTTACCACCCACTCCGAATCCATGTCCAAGTGAATCCTTAAAAATAAAATCCACAGGTTCTCAATAAATAGTTGCAGTTCCTCCTGAAGATGCTGGGGTAAAGTGCAGAGAGAAGCACCACGGAAGCCCTCTTGCTGGCTGATATGGCTTGCCTAAATTCGGATTTGGTAGCCCACCTCATTCAGCGTGCTGAGGTCAGCCACCTTCTCAGGCAGTGCGGGCCTACGGGTCAAAGGCAGGTGGGGGAGAGGGAGGGGATGGAGAAAGATCACTTAGTATTTGATTCGGACAACTTGACTTTGTTCTTGACTTTGTTCTCCCGACCCTTCAGGTGCTTGCCCCCAGCCCGCCCCGCTGTACTCCACCCCTCCCCAGATTGGTTCCCAGCTTGACCTCGTGTTCTCAAGTCCACTCTGATGGGATGTAGAGAACATTTTCACAGGCTTTTCAAGGTAGAGCTGAAAAAAACCTGATAGGTTGCCAGATGAGTCTGTCCAGCTTGAAGCCTGCCTTCGGTCACACTCTAACTTCTGAAACCCAGTATCTGTGAACCTTGCAAGGATCTAAAAACAAATCACATGTAGTCCAGTAGAACTAAAAACCTCAGCCAGACTCTCCTTGAAACCTGGGCTTCCTGATGCTTACGCCCTGGGGGAAACCCAGCAACTACAAGACCTCTCAGGTGCCAGGTTCGCACGGAGAGGTGCTCGGCTCTCTCTGACGGAGGATTACTCTTCCAGGCCCCAGTGCATAAAATCGGGGCAAATCCTTTACAACTCATCTGAAAAAGCATGTCAGTGTGGAAAATCATTCCATGACAAATCCTCTGTTCTCCCTCAATACATTTTCCTAAGTACGAATAAGCATTTAGGTGAGATCATGTCAGAAAGTACTTCAGGCTGAAAAAAGAAAATCAGTAAGCACATCACCTGTCTTCATTAAAGACATTTCCTCAATGATTTCCCAATACAAAAGTACACCTACGCATTCTCCCGACTTCACTCACAGTTTTTCCACTTCTTAGCCTCCTACCTTCTCTGATAAGAGAGAACTGAGCTTCTAAACCTAATTAAGCAAGTTCAGTATGGCTAGGGAGTTCAAATTCAAAAGTTGCGTGTTCAGCCATTTTTATCAGAAGACTAAAGGTACTTTTAGGCTACCCATGAACCTTAAGTGTTTGAAGAAGAGAGACCAGAATGAAAATATAACAGTTTCTTGGTTTATCCTCTGAAGGGTTTCCTCATAGCAAATAGCTTTCCCCTGGCAGGAAAGCGCTCCAACTCATGTGGTGTTGACGGAGCCAGAAATCAATAGCTAATATCGAGGGGCCACTTAAGGACACGAGGCTCAAATTTTGGCAAAAGTTCTACTGCCCTACATATTCGCATTCTGTCCCTCTCTCTCTGCCTGCCTTCATCTCCTTTCCCTCCCTTCCCCTTCACCCCTCCCTCCCTGCCCACCTTCATCTCCTCCCTTCCCCTTCACCCCTCCCTCCCTTTCTTGCAACAGCCTATGAACATCCCCTCTGAACCTGATGATTCGAAGTGGTCTAGAAACCTTCCCTAACTTGTTCCTTGGCGTTGCTAAGGAACTTGTGAACCTACCCATCTTTGTGTTGCATGAAGCTGATTTCTCAGAGTGACCACGTGCCTTGCTTTACTGGTGAGGAATCATGCCTCTCGTTTCTTTCTGTCTCTGGTCGTGGTCCGAGGGTGCCCAGATGATGCTGACAAATACGGCTGGCAGAGGATAGAAGTCCCCAGACTTCCTTACGTGAAAATCCCTGCTCACTGTACCAGAGAGCTCAAGCCTTCCGACCTTCGGGCTGATGGTGTCCTCCAGCCATACGTGCCCTAGAGATCAGTCATTCTGTAGCGAAAGAGCCACTGGCAGAGTGGACCCTAGGGGCCACTGTGAGGACCATTCTTGAACTGGCAGCTAAAGGGAGCACGCTTCAGTCTGAGGGTTCAAACTTAAGTTTATATCTCTGTCCTCACCCTCAGCCCTCTGACGGGGAAAGAACTAGGGCTCTTGTGGATAAGTCTGGTTCAGAGCCCATTTGTATCCAGTTCATTTTTTCTTTTTTTCTTTTAATTATTATTTTTTTAAAAATTTATTTATTTGACAGAGAGAACACAAGTAGAGGGCGCAGCAGGCTCCTGCTGAGAAGGGAACCCAACGCAGGGCTCAATCCCAGGACCCCAGGATCATCACCTAAGCCAAAGGCTTAACCGAATGGGCCACCCAGGGGCCCCTCTAGTTCATTTTTTCAAAAAGCCTGAGATAGAGTCTCTGTTTTGCTTCCTTGCGTGAGGTGTGTCATCTTTTCAAACGGCTAATATGGGACTTCCTTCTTCAGGGAGACTCCCCATTAAATCTACTTCTCCCCTCCCTCCATGGGCCACACTTTCAGAAAATTCAGCAATCAAAAAAAAATTCACTTGGTGAAGGGTAAATTTGAAGCATCCCCATTCCTCACTTGACGATAGGATTAAATAGGGGGGACATTTCCTAGAGCGATTAAAATATAATTTCCAGGGCGCCTGGGTGGCTCAGTGGGTTAAGCCTCTGCCTTCAGCTCAGGTCGATCTCAGGATCTTGGGATCAAGTCCCGCATCAGGCTCTCTGCTCGGCTGGGAGCCTGCTTCCTCCTCTCTGCCTACCTCTATCTACTCGTGATCTCTCTGTCAAATAAATAAATCTTAAAAAAAAAAAAAAAAGAAAGAAAGAAAAAAAGAAAAAATATATAGTTTCCACACTACCTTTCCTGGTGGTGGAGCTGCATGACCATATATATACTCCTTATCCAAACATAAATTAAATTCGTAGTGAATGGTTTTTTCCTTTATCTGATGTTTTTAATGATCTCTGTGGGGCATTCTGTTACGTGGCCCTCCACATCCACTCTCCCCTTCTGCCTTAGTAAAAACCCGATTTTCAGCTGGGCCCAGAGCTATCAAGAACACAAACCATGTCTCCCAGCCTCTCTGAAGCCCACCAGGCATCAGACTAAATTATAACCACCGAGATTGGAGGTTTACCAGACAGCTCTTCCAAAGACAACGAGCATGTGCCCTTCCTGGGTTCTCCTGCTCTCTCTTCTGTCTTGTGGAAGTGATGGTTGGACCGTGGCCCCCAAGATGGGACACTGAAGAGGCCGAGCAGTAAGACGCCCCGTACCGTCTCTTTTGAGCCACTTTCCCATCCTGGTGAGTCCCAGCCAAGTCCTAGCCTCCCCGCCAACCTTACCCTCCACCAAACCTGATCCTGACCGGGATCACGTCCGTCTGTTAACTCACTAATACAACGCCAACTCCGATGCCAGTCATGGTGGGTATTGAGTGGGCCTGAGGGAGCTTCGCCTGGGGAGTGAGCACGCGTTCCTAGAAGTTCTCTAGATTCCACTTAGGAGAAGTAGCCACACCCTACCCCAAATCCGAAGACTCACTTATGAGAGTCTCTCTTCTTCCCCCGGGGCCCTGCACCCCCTGTGGGGCCAACGCCATGGCGGCTCTTCACACCTCCCCTTGTCTGTCAAGAGTAAGCCACTCCTGGACGGTGGCTCCCCATTCCAGCGTCCTCCGCAGCACGCACCCGTGAGCTCACCCCAGTTCCTGCACCTTCCTTCCCGACCTGGCCTGTCTCTCAACAGAGTCACACCTCTCCTTCTCCGAAACTCTATTAGTCACTGTGCTGCCCTCCCTCTGTGAGAACAGCGCTAGTAAGACACGAGCCCAGCATGGTTTCCCGGGTGGTGGAGTAGGTCCGCGCTGACCTATTTTCTCTCCCTCAGTCCCGGGCTGGGAGGTCAGCGGCAGGACGGGCTGCAGCGTCCAGGAGCTGGACAGGAAGACAAACCCTAGTTGCTAGGCCCTGGGATGTGTTCTCCACAGAAGCCATTTTTTGCCCACTCACCTGAGCCCCTCACTTTGGAGCCCATCAGCTCGGAGGAAACAGAATTTTCACCACATTCTTCAAAGTGTGTGTTCCTAAAACTTCACCCTTTACCTTTACCCTTGGTCTGCTACTGGCTCCCTTGAAAACAGATGGACTTTAACTTGTGGGGGGGGGTCTCTGAACTCCTTTTTTCTAAACCTTTCCTTAGCACCTCCACCAGTCACTCCCCTTGCCCACCCTGGCAGGAATCTTCTAGGTGCTGAGAAATCACCATTATAAGTACCTTTCATTTAGCTGGCCCTTACGAGGCACCAGGCATCGCTCTGAGAGGTTTACAGGGATTAACTGAGTCTCACCGTAACCTGACAGGGCTGATACTCTTCCTACCCATTTTAGAGAGGAAGAAATCGAGGCACTGAAAGGGAACTTGCTTAAAGCAAAACTGCATGTTTAGCAAGTGGGGGAGCCAGAACTCATCCCCAGAATCCAGAGCCCATGCCCTTAACCAGGAAGCAAAGGGACCCCATCCTCCCACTGCCCGCACAAAGCATCCCTCCAGCATCGAAGGATGACCCCACAACCACTCCAGCCTCTGCGCCATGCCATGGAATGCCCAACCCCCTGTCTTGTCATCCCTCCACGGTCCGACCCAAACGCCACTTCTCCCACGAAGTATCCGACTTCCTTCCCTCAAAATGCGTGACTCCTCACCCCCATAGGCCGGGACATTTTCTCTGGCACACCTGCTGAAGTCTCCTGCAGGCTCCTATCCTTACGCCTGCCTCTGACACTAGCAGGGATCAAGTCCGTTCAGCTATGAATCCCTCCTGCTGAATCGCTGGTACTTCTCGGGTAAACTTGGGTCAAGTTCTCATTAACATGTAAGCGGCGGATAGGGCTTCATTGCGTTACCTTCATCATGGGGTATTTTTAACAATGTCCTAAGCCAGGAATTCAAGTCACCATGATGACATTTTCATTTTTGTTCCTGTACAGAGAGACTTTATCTCACCTCTGAAAGCGCCCCGGGGAACCTGCCTGCTTGAAAAGCTGAAGAGGGTCCGCAAGCAGGGGCTGGAGGGCTTCCAAAGGAAAAGGAGTAGATTGTCCCCTTCCTCTGTAGCCCACCCGCCCTGCCCCCCAGGTATCCGGAACCCAGGGAAGAACAAAAGGCAGAAAAAGGAGTTCGACCGAGATCTCCCCCAACCCCGGTGAACTGCCTGAAAGAGGAAACCCTTTTCTCTCCCAGCGATGCCGGCTGCAGTCTCCTGGCCTGGCGAGGGGCAGAAGTGGGTTATCTGCTGGCCACCTGCCTGCGGGCCCAGCCAGAAATACTGCTCCGTCCTGGCCAGCAGCTCGCTCAGGGCCAGAGCTGGGCGAGCCTGTGCGTGGAGAGACCTCTTCCAAGGGCTCCCCTGGGCTATACTTAGGATTCCACAAAGGGATTTATTTTTAAGAAACACAAGCGCCGGAATGGTGATTCAGCCGGATCTGCACTTGCCCAGAACTTCTCATCAGATGCACGGTTATTATTTTAGATGGAACACGCTCTTTCTCCAAACCCCTCCCCAGTCCACGCAAGGGAAAGAGCTCCGAGGATTTTCCCACTGAGGGCTCTGGGCCAGCCTTCTGTTTGAGAAGCAGCAGGGAAGGGGACTTTAAGTTTCCGTGAGAGCTGCTTCCCTCAGCACACAAATGGATAATCCCAGCCTCATCTGTTGTCATGTAAATGTATCTGGGGTGATTTAGGGGGACGGCTTGATGGCCTGGCCCCAGGTGTCCCCTCCACCCCTACCTCAGGCCTGCATTCCTGGAGCCAGCTCCAGCAAGGGCTGTTCAGGGGGGAGGTAGGCTGAGGAGGACAGGATGGTGGTTCCATAGATAAGTTTTCTGTCGCAGAGAAGCCTGAGTTTTCCATCCTTGTGACGCATGGTGGAAATTCACACTCTGGGTTTTTTGTTTGTTTGTTTGTTTGTTTAAGTAAACTCTACAATGTGGGGCTTGAACTCACGACCCTGAGATCCAGAGTTGCACACTATACCGACTGAGCCAGCCAGGGGCCCCCACACTCTATATTTTCAATGTGATCTTTTGTCCCGGGTAGCTGGGAGTAGATATGGGACTTCCAATTTTCCAGGGTGTCTCAATCTTATATCTCAATCTCAATATAAGATTGAGACACCCTGGAAAATTGGCTTGTGGTTCATTGCCTTGATCCAAATCTATACATAAAATATGAGTAGTATTCACCACTGTCTCCTAAACCACAACAGTCCAGGGACAGTGAGCCGTCTCTTAGGCGGGCAGAGTGGCCCCTCGAGACTCGCACACAGCCTGAGGCAGCCTCCGTGTCCAGGAAGAGCTTGGCGCGATTCTGTGTTGGTGTCGTGAAGCCGCAAAGAGCCTCAGAACAGGAAAGTTCACGGCAGCATGTTGGGGACCAAGTGGGGACATCACGTCCTAGGGCTGAACGTATCAGCTGGTGTGTGTCTGTGTGAGATCGGGTTTAAGAAAAGAAACAGTGACGCGGAAGGAGAGCCTGCAGGGCTTCCCCCAAGCCCGCCATCCCTTTTCTGTCCCTCTGACTAAGGCCCCAGTTTGGGGCATCTCCTCCCCTCACTTCTTAACCCCGGCCCCCTCTCCCCTCAGCAGCTGCTGGGGAGCAGAGGTTAGGGATCCTGGCTGGCAGCCGGGAGGGGAGAAAAAGTCTCCTGCAACTTGCTGGGGACTTACTCAACCACAAGAATTTACTAAGTAACACTGTGCCAAGTACCTTGGAGGTCTCAGGGTTACAGCAGGACAAACAGCAGCTCCTGCTCCCACTGGACCCAAAGTCCATTCCCTTTCTTCTGATGGAAATTTGCCTCTCGTTTCTCCCATTTGAGTAGGATACACTTCCGGGGTGTGGCCCATCTATGACCACTTCGGGGCTGCCTGATCGGGAAGCACAGACCACCTGTCCTGTTCCCACTTCTTACTCCTGTCTCCCCTGAGGTCGCAGCCCCAGAGGGTGGGCAGTGTCATCGCCCTCGGCTTCACTCACTCACCCTCACACACAGACACACCCATGAAGACCAGGTCAGCTCTAGTCCCTGTGGACTCGGGATTCTAGAAAGGAATATTCAGGAAGGGAGCAACTCTCACATGGACCTCTTGGTCCTCCGTGTTAAGGGTATGGAACAGATTAAGGCAGGGATGGCGCTGGCCCAGCATTTACAAGTTCAAGCAGAGAGAGACCTCAAGCCCTCCTCTCTCGTCTGGTCTGGCAGGGATCAGGTCAGGCTGGGCACCGGTTTAGGACTTATGACCTGTCTGGGTAGGCCTCTACTGGAGGGCCACGGGAGGGCAGACTGGTTCCTTCCCACTTGTCACCCTCATTCCAAGCCCGTCCTGCTCCTTGCTCACATTCCTTGGTTCCTAGGACGGTAGATATCCTGCTGGCGGGTGCTGGGCGGACGGGCGCCCACCCAAGAGATTCCGCTCAGCAGGGACTCTCCCAGCCCTGCCCCTTCTTTCAAGGCCTCCCAACGTAGGAGGCTCTGGCCAGAGACCAAGAGCCACAGGCTACTGTTGGAGATTCCAGGGCACAGCCTCCTCTCCTTACCGTGACAGAGAACCCATCGGGGATCCCAAAGGTGTCTAAACCCAAGAGGCTGTTCGCTCATTCAGGTCAGGAGGTCTTTGCTCATAGAGCTCATCACCTATCCTGCTTCTCCAAGTGTCTCTGGTGACCTCAGACCCTATGAAATCCCAGGAGAACTAAGCTGGGCAGTCCTTTGGGCTCCTAGAAGGAAACTCCACATCACCCAGGATCCTGGCTTAGTTCTCCCTCTCCTTCCACAACCATTCTACTTTTCCCTCACTTTTTTTTTTTCCTCCCCTCTACTTTGCTTGCTAAGCAAACTATCTCCTTTCCACCTTTGGGGACATTTTCTTATGCAGGTGGAAGGAGAATAGAATGACTTCTCGGCCTCGCTCAGAGTATCTTCAATATCATTAGCCCACGGAATCACACTGATTTTCTAGGACTTCATTATCACTTCACAGCCTCACTTGGGCAATCGCCTGGAGGCGTCCTACGACACTTCATAAATAACCATAAATAACGGAGCAGGAACTCGCTTGTCCCCCTTGGGGCCAGCTGTGAAAGGAGACCTGATCTTGAGATGGGGCTTAGTAACCTCTGTGACCCTGAGGGTCTCCAGCAGGGTGGGCCAAGCCCCCTAGAGCCACACACAGACTGCCACAGAGACAGATGACCAAGAAGGGAAATCAAAGAGGGAGGAAAAGGGAGGAAGAGAATCATAGCAAAGAAGAGCAGAGGAGGGACAGAGGTGGAAAAGAGGAGCCAGAGAGCGGAGAGAGAACAAAGCCACTCTCAGAGGTCCTTAGGGACTCTTGCCCCACTTGGGAAGAACGTCCCACGTGGTCACTCCAATTGGCACGAGCCCCTTTCATGTCGACACGGGCAGCCTAGCCAGAAGACGGTCCGCTCAGCCCTATGCTCCCAGGTTGCAGGACTGTCAGAGACAGAAAGGACCCCAGGGAGCATTTGTGGTTCCTCGGGGAACTGCTGGCATTTTAAGTGGAAAGGTTCTCAGTGGGGGAGGATGAGCTTTGCAGGAGGTTTACCATCCTTGCCCCGGCCCCTCCCCAGGATCTATCATTATAACAACTTCTCCTCCCACCTCATTTCTAACCCTTGTTCCTGCGAGGGTGAGGGGCAGGCATCCTGGCTGCTGCTGCTAAGAGAGGCCTGGCGTTGGGAAGCGTAGGTAGACGTTCACAGCAGGCCTTTAAAACGTGGAGCTCAACCTCCATCTCCCTGCCTCTCTTAGAACCACAGGAAACAATTTGCTCTGTGTGGATGGCGCTTTAAACACTCCTAGGGGAGCAGAGGCTGACAAAGGATTCATGGGGTGGAGGGTGGGGGGTGTCCCTGTCTCCCTCTTGACACCCAGCCCTGAGCTGACACCTAGTGCAGCCTTTGCTGTTTGCCCTCCCACCCAGCTGACTCTTCTGTCAACCCAGTGACACTGATCGTCCTTTCCAGAAGGATTAGTCAGACGAGTGCAAAAACGGAGAGGAATGCAGGGCTGAAGTAGCTGCAGCTGTAGGGATGAGGTCGGCCGGGATACAAAGCCACTAAAATTATCCCAGCACAGAAAGGGGCCGGGACCCCACAGCGGATGGGCCTCTTGCCTGTTATGGTAATATTCCACGCTCTGGGCCACTCCCAAACTTCATTATGGCACCCGACACATTTAGAAATGATTTGATGGCCTTATGTAATGCTGAAAAAAATAACACAGTGACAGAGCCACGAAGCCCTCCCTAGTCCTGGCCATTCCACTGCAGGAGGCCCAGAATTTTGGTGGAGTTATTGGGTCAGTAGCAAATGGGTCCCTTTCTCATTTCCTCACCAAATCACGATTACCTGGAGAAAAGCCTGCTTGCTGAAGGACAGGGGTAGAAGCTGAGAAGCTGTTCTCCTCCAGATACACCTCTAGGAACCAGGGTGTCCTGGGCTCTAGTCTGTGGCAATGGCGGAAGCTGGGATCTGGAGAGGGAGGGAAGGGCTTGGTTCTTCCATCCTTCTTGTCCTCCCTGGGTCACACAGCCTTTCATTTTCCTTTCAACCCTTGCTTCTCTGTCCCCTCGAGCCCCTGTGATCCCCGACCCAGCCCTGCAACTCAGAAAGCAGGGTTTAAGGAGGAATTAGTAATACCTTGGAACACCTCAATCTACTTGAAACCTCAGCCAAGATATTTGCCCTCGAGAATCCCCTCCTGACCTCTAAACTGGGAAAAGAACTGACAGGGGCTTCGGCTACTAAGGGTGGCCACGGTCTTCCTGGATTTGCTCACACCAGATGGTCCACAGGAACCCACAAGCCACCTAGGCTCCCTTGATGGTCAAACTCTTCCAAAGCCACCCTGCCCTGGCTGTGAAAAAGAAAATCCCTAAGACCTGACCCACTAGGGAGAGTCGATGGAGGGAGACTCCTGGGAACCAGTGCCATGCCCGGGAGAAAGGGCTGAGGGCTTCCCGGGCTGGTCGCAGCCACTCTTCGCCATTTTGGAAAAGTTTATGTTTTCACTGAACCATGAGCCATCGCCTCTGTGCAGCCAGGGCCTGCCTGCCAGGGCTGGGCTCGACTTCAGGGCGTGGAGGGAAGCGGGTGGTGGAGCGGAAGCCCCATCTTCCTGCAGGTCTTCCTTCCTGACCCCACTGAGGACTGCTGCCCTCTCCCTACTGCCTTTCTCCCCATCCCCGGGCCCACTTCCTGCTTCCAACCGACAGGAGGGGTGAGGGTGAGGGGGGCCCCGACACTGGAAGGTGCTTTGCACTCACAACTGCGGCAGTCTAAGAGCTGTCCTCTGCGGGCACAGGCGTGGTCGCTTGCCTCGGCTGTGTGACAAAGTCCAGAGATTAGGGTACAGGCATGGCTCGGGGGTGACCGAACACCAGTTCCCTACCTGGCCCCTAGGAGAATGACCAGCCGGGCTCTGCCCAGCATGTCTTCAGCAGAGCCCAACATGGGGGTCAGGCCGGGGTCTCACCCTCCAACGGCACCTCAGCACCTCAGGCTCCAGAGGCCCAGGCAGGACCAGGTGGAGCTGAGCCACAGAATCACACAGACCCAGTGCCTGCACCTTGACATGCCGTTGTTTTTTTAAAGTCAACCCCCAAATCAGAACCAACCGCGGTTCTCCAAGAGTGGTCCCTGGACCAGCGGCATCAGCATCACCTGGGAACTTGCCAGAACAGCAGATCCTCGGGCCCCATCCAGATCTGCTGAATCACAAACACCGGGGGAGGGGCCCCCATCTGTTTTAACAAGCCCTCCGGGGATTCTGGTCTTGCTGGAGTTTGCAAACCGGGTGCAGGATCCTTCTGTCCCTCCTCAGCTGGGCCCTGTGCTGCTGCAGCCGCTTCACCCCGTCCTGTGCCCATAACCCACCCGCTCCTCCTCGCTCCCACCCAGTGACGCACCTCCCTCACCAGTGGGATAAAAGCCACTGAACGCGCACAGTCTGTCCGCTTCTCCGTCCTCATCTCCCTGACCTTAAACTCTCCCTCATCCCCCGCCTCCCTTTGCTCCTCCGACCTTCACAGCTGGCTCCTGCAGGTGCGGACTGGCTCCTGCAGTGCGGACTGGCCCCTTCGCAGGTGCGGACTGGCCCCTTCGCAGGTGCGGACTGGCTCCTGCAGGTGCGGACTGGCCCCTTCGCTCTCCTGACTCGCCCGCTCTGCTGTTCCTTCCCCATCTCCTGCTCTGGCCCTGCATCCCCTGGGCCACTTGGAGCCTGCCAGCACGTCCCTCCCTCCTCACCAACTCCTCCAACTATCGCTTCAACTGTCGCTTCTAAGCAGATGGCTCTGCTGTCACGGTCTCTATTCCTCAAGCTCCAGATCGGCATGCTCAGGGGCTTCTAGAATGCTCCCCCAGGGTGCCCAAGCAGCAGCTCAAATCCCACAGTCCAGGCCCCAATGCACCTTCTTCCCATACTGTTCTCAGACCACCGGCACCTGGCACGTCCTCGGACTTCTGTCTCCACAGCCAGCGTCTGAGATCTTGCTGGCTTTCCCATCCCAGGGCACTCATGGGAACTTTTTCTGGTAAAAAAAAAAAACCTAACATGCCTTGGACTGCAAATTTCCTGTGGATGCAAGTAAAACGGATGCGACAGGAATGGTCCGAAAACTCCATCCTGCCGTCCCGTGCATCAGCCCGTCAGGGGCACACTCAGGACTTCCGGGTTTAGAGGGCAGAGTGGGGCTTTCTGGACTGCTCAGTGTCTGCTGCAGACTGGGAGCTCCTGCTAAGGGGAGACTTAGCCCTCCTGGGATAGCAAAGCTAACAAGGCAGAGCAAAGCGCCCCTCCCCGCTCCTTGAGTAACCAGATTGCTACTTCTGGGTCCCGGGCTCCATGCTCCGTGCCCTCTAGAAAGGGTTTACACATGCACAGTCCTCTGAGACAACTGCTACTTTGTTCAGAGTCACCAGTGAATGGATGGCTGCATGGGAGAGGGGGAGAGAGAGGGTTGTGGTGAAGGTCAGGGTCAAGAGGCAAGCGTAGTGGTCAGCATCAGAGGCAGGATTAAGGTCAGAGGCTTGTGCCAAAGCTCTGAAGCCATCCTGCTCCCCAAAAGGTCAGAGCCATGCTGAAGCCCCACGTTCTCCAGCTTCTCTTGCTGCAGGAACCCCCCCTTTCCACCTCCTCCGTCAAAGCCTGGACCCCAGCCGTCTTAGCCAATACCCTCGGGCTGTGGATTCTGCACCAGGGTTCGGCAGCAGGAGGTAGAATGGGGACAAACAGGGAACTTTCCTCAGAACTGAAACCACTTCATCCTGACAGAACCAACACTGCCATCCCCCTCCCCCATCCCAGAGCCAGGGAACCCGGGTTCCAGCCCCAGTGCCATCACTGACCAGCTACAAGACAGCACAAGATAACAAACCGGGTTTGCGTTCTGGTTTCTCCCTTTGACAGTGAAAACTAAAACTCTGCCTTCTTACTCCACAGGACTGATGTGACAATAATGACACGTCTGCGTTAAAAGCTGCTCACCATGGACAAACCGCTCTCCCTACGTCTTCTAAGTGGGTCCCACGACTCCTTGAGAAGGAGGCAGGGAAAGTGTTTTTATCGTCTTGGACGGATGAGCAAAGAAGGCTCCTGAGAGGTCTGCCTAGGCCGCAGGGCTAAGGGGCTGCTGAGCGGGGGCTCGCTCCGGACCTCTGTGCACTGCACCACACTGTCCCAGGCTCGGTGGGAGCGGCTCGTGACCAGCATGCGCTGGTATTACAATGACAGTGGTATTTTCTCCCCTGTCTAATTACGGCCCAAATATCAGCCCGTGGATTCTCACCGGGTACTTCTCCAATCTGTCATTTCCCAAGGGAGTCATTTTGACCTCAGAAGTAGGTGTGGAATCAGTGGCCTCGGGGATAAGATGGGGGAAGACAGGGTCAGCAAGGGAGAAAGAATGACCTAAAGATGCCATGACCTAAAGAACGATCATGATTTCTCCTGGGCACAGAGGGCTACGGGGTTTTAGGAAAGTTTCATCAGTTCTAACAATTCCATCTTCCGGCTAAGGGAACTTAAGTGGAGGAAGGTTCCATGGCCGGCCTCAAGTTGTGTGGCTCACAAGGGGCTGAGCTGGCCCCAGACCCAGGCTTCCTAATCCTACATCCACCGTTCCCCCCACGCTGCCGGGATCTCAGGATCTCCTTCATCTCTGGCAGTCTGGAGCTTGTCCCTTCATCTGAGTCTACAACTGACAGGCAGTAGCATCAGAGCAATGGGGGTGACGTGCGCAGTGGACCCTTCTCCACAAGGGATGCCCCCTGATGGAGGGCCGGTCCTCCTGGAGATCTCAGTCTGGTTCAGATGCCACGCCCAGGACACAGCTTTGTCCCCACGGGCCAGGACAACCCCATGGATGTGTGTGCCGGCCCCTGAGCCAGTGAAGAGGAAATAGTACTCACGACTTGTCTCTCCTGCCGAGCCGTCTCGGGGGGCTCGCCTGTCTCCTTCGGGGGGACAGGGATTTCCCCCGGCTTCTCACTTGGGTTGGAGAATGGGCACTTGCAGGTTTCAGGATCTGAAGGAGATGTGAGGAGTTACCACGCTGGCTCCGGAAGGAAACCACCCTCCTGTCTTCCCGCAGCCTCCCTGCCCCCACCGTGAGTGCGAGGCCTAGGAGCTACCGAGCCGGAAGACCTTCAAGGGGAGTCCTGACAGATGTTCCTTGCTCAGTCTACATTGGTGAGGAGCAGAGGACCCCTTCCCCAGAGGCTGAAATGATTACACTGTGCCCCCTTTTCCACAGCATAAGAGCAAAGCCCTATGCCTCAGCCTCTTGGGGCTGTTTCCAGGAGCTGTGTGCTGTCTCGTGAGGGCAAAGTCCCATCTCCATTGCCCCAGAAACCAGCTTGTTCTTCCTCTGACTCTCCCACCCCATACACAGGCACCGAGTGGTTTCATTTTATCAAGAATCTCCGTCCCAGGTCCCTTAGGGTGAAGATGACAAGTCCCCAGGCACTAAACAGCCTGAGGTCAGCAAAATATTTTCCCTGTGGTCCTCTGTGTCCACACAGGCTTTCTCTCAGTGACTCCACAAGCCCTGGAGGGACACAGACAAGCAGGCACAATGTTTCCAGGGAAGTGACATGGGAGAAGGAAGAAGCGCTTATGAGTGTAGTTTCTGTGAAACCAGCACAGTGAATGCTTCTTTGGTATTGAGACACCAGGCCAGAATTATATGCCAAAATGTGTTGCAATTTATAAAGCAAAGCAGAGACAGAATGTGACTCTGCAAAAGATTATAAAGCAGGGTGACCCGCTCTCCTTGTGTGCCCAGGACCTTCCTGGTTTTATGTACTAAAAATGTCATGTCCCAGGACACCCCCCAGTTTCAGGCAAACTGGAATGATGAGTCACCCTATCATAAAAACCAAAACAACAAAACAAAACAAAACGAGAGCTTTAATCTAAAATGACTTTAACATTTTGGATTTGATTTCACAGAAGGAAATACGGCCAAGACACTGATTTAACTGTAACATCTCAACTGACTTCAGCTCGTTTTGAAGTAGCCTATACAAAGAGAAACTTTAATCGTCCATGTCAAACAGCAAATGATTTGTACTTTTTGTTTTGATAGGATGGTTATTAAGATAACCTCAAGAAGCTTCTGACCATCCCAGAAACATGGGGCAAGAGGCAAGAGACAGACAGACAGAGGACGGGGATAGAAAACTCTACCATCACTCATTCGCCTTCCCAGCACCTACCTTCATTCTCATGTCCCTGGCGTATTTCTCCAGCTCCTTCCTTATGTCAGCCCTTAACATCTTGGAGACATTGAGGACCAGCTGCTTCCATTCAATGGGCTGGAAGCTATGAGGCTCATGGGGGACATACAGCCCAATCTTGACCTTCTTGACTGTGTGCAGGTACTTCTTGTAGGAGTCTTCAAAGTCAAAGATGAGGTCACTCAGAGTTCGAAAGGTCAACGGCTTGTCCATCAGCTCAGCCCTCCGGCTCATGCCCAGTGAGCCGTAGCGGCCATTGCAATAAATCCCCAGCACAACATGGTGAAAATAGTTTCCTGAGAAGTAGGTTTTAAAGCTGATGGGGAATCGCTCGATGGAAGGCTGTCCATTGGTTAAGTATCTTAGACCATCTGAGTCAAGGAAGAGAAGGGAGGCCTTGAGAATTAAGAGCTTGGACTCCCAGGAGGGAACGTGATCTGTATGGCAAATTAAGTGTCCATCTCTCTGCCTCTGAGCAGATCCACATCTAACCTTTCCACGTTAATCCTTTTAGAAAAGATTCACTCAATCTCTTTGAGTACCTATTAGATGATGCATACCGAAGCCAAATTAAAATGGGACCATGAGAAAAACTTGCCCTCTACTTTAGTAATTAAATAAATGTGCAAAACAAAATCATGGACTTTCCCCCTCCCACGTTTTCTTCAGGACGTGATGAGTATTAAAGGCTTTTTAAAATGTAATGAGAATGACGTTCTCAGACATTACTTCTGGCCGGAGTATGTGGGACAGAGCAGGAATTGAAGACCTCTGCAATGTTCCAGGAGAAAAGTGAAAAACAGAATCAAGGCAAGGCAGTGAGATGGAAAACAAACTGACTGGGTACCTGGGTGGCACCTGGGTTAAGCACCTGCCTTTGGCTTTGTCAGATCCCAGGGTCCTGGAATCGAGTCCCACATCGGGCTCCCTGCTCAGCGGGGAGTCTTCTTCTCTTCTACCCCTCCCCCCCATCACGATCTCTCTCTCTCTCTTTCTCTCTCTCTCTGTCATGCCCTCTCTTTCTCTCAAATAAATAAGTAAAATCTTTAAAAAGAAGAAAAAAAAGAAGAAGAAAGAAAAGAAACAGACTGGTCGATTACCTGGACAGGAAGGCATCAGAACAGGCCACAGCTGCCCCTCATCTGCTCCTCTCATGGGCCCCAGTACACTCATGCCAACAGCCTTGAGTACCATAGAAAGGTGCCTCCAGCACCCGAACCTCAGGTTCCCCTCATTCCCCAGCACACCTGGCATCACAGATTGGCTTTCTCCACTTATCAGCCCATTTGGATCAAGCAAATCAGCAAAACTGATACCGTTGTATCAATTTGGGACCAGTAACCCCATAGGGGCAGCGCCGCGTAACTAACTACCCCACTGACTCCACACGACAAGTACCACCACAGCCTCAAGCCCATCTCAAAAATCCCAGGATAACCTTGGCAAGGACCCAGTATTTATGGAGAGGGATGTTGAAAACTCATGGCATCACTTTTCTGCTGAAAACCTGTGGTGACTCCAGGGTGATTCTGAGGTAAATAATAATCCAGGTGCTCTCCATGGCGGCCTGTGCCTGGTAAGTGCCCAGTCAGTGGATACGGTTCTCTACACTGAGAATCTGTCTTTACCATTTCTTGCCCCCACTCCAATGGACTTTCCACCCAGAGGCTAGAATGTTCTACTCAAGCCAAAATTTGGTATGTGTCAACTCTTCTGCTTCAGTTTTCACTCTCTCTCGTCTTCCCCAGACTTGGTCCAAATCCCTTACCAAAGTCCTGCCACAATTCAGCCCCTGCTCATAATTCCTTTGTCCAGTTTCATTCCCCCCTACACCCTGGACCAGCACACGGGCCCACGGTCGACCGAGACATTTTTGAAGGATATGCCAAGACCATAAAGAATCCACACCCATGCCCTTGGCCAATATATTCCCTCATAATGGGAAGTCATATAAAACTGAAAGTCTTGAATTACTTTTAAATGACATTGACATTACAAAGCTATGAGACCAATTGAATAAAATGGCCCTAAACATACCCTGTAGCATGTGATGCTCCCTATCGAAGTAGAACTTCCTTTATGGCCTCCCTCACACAGCAGCCCTCTAGGGCAGGGGCTTGCAACCAGGCAGAGATTTTCGGGGTCTCGTAAGAATCACGAGTGAGAAGGATGCTGTGGGCTTACTCTCTTTACACACGCGGCATCCCGAATGGAACAGCGGCACTGCTCTCCCCTCACTCCTTCCCCCTTTCCCCAACCTTCCTCAGTATGAGTTAAGTACCCCGCCCCACCGCCCAACTCAAGAACTGCCACAGCTAATAGCACTGGCTGCTTAATCGCCCAGTGTTATAACTGGGTGTCTCTTTGCATCTTGTAGGGACGGGAGTTGTGTTTCGCAGGCTGGTGTCTGTCCCTGGGCATAGCACAGGCCTGGCACAGAGACGTGCTCTGTCAGTGCTTGCTGCAAGGATGACCCTCCATTGCGAGACACCTTCCTTGGACTTAAAAAGACTGCCTCAGTGAGGGCCAGTCCAGATACCCTTAAAAGAAAGAAGCTACCTGAAGCCAACCCTGAGGGCTGACCCGAGGACGGGGCCTCAGTTTAAGCACAGATGTTTCCTCTCTCTAAAGTTAGCTGTTTTCTTGTCACTTCCTCTTGCGACATGAACTGGCAGGGAGGGAGTGAAATCCCAACCTTCCGATGCCCCTGACGTCCACTCCTGCTTGTTTTCCGGGGTGAGTTCTCTGGGGCTGGAATAAGAGCTTTCTCAGTCGTTTTTAGTGATAACGAACCCTCACTGGGCGCATGTCTCCTGTGCCCGACAGGCTGCGGGTAGGCTGTGGAGCCAGAGAGCAAGAGCACAGCCCTCTTCTGGAAGCCTATCGGGGACACAGACTCAAAATGGACACGACACGACCAGGATGGCAGTTCCTCAAAAAAGAAGAAGAAGAAGAAGAGAAAAAGAAGAAGGAGGAGGAGGAGGAGGAAAAGGAGAAGGAAGAGGAGGAAAAGGAGAAGGAGGAGGAGGAGGAGGAGGAAAGAAAGAAAGAAAAAAAGAAAGAGTTGCCATATGATCCAGCAGCTCCTGGATGTGTACCCACAAGAACTAAAAGCGGAGATATGGACAGGGACTTGCACACCCATGTTCACAGCAGCGGAAAGGGTGTATACAATGGAATATCATTCCGCCTCAAAAAGTCAGGAAATTATGACTCGTGCTACAATTTGGATGAACCTTGAGGACATTAGGCTTAGAAATAAGCCAGTCAGAAAAGGACAAATACTGTATGATTCCCCTTTCTGAGGTATCTGGAGTAGTCACATTCATAGAGATGAAAGTAGACAGGTGGTTGTTGGGGGCGGGGATGAAAATGGGGAGTTAGTGCTCCATGGGCATGGCATTTCAGTTGGGGAAGATGAAGTTCTAGAGACGGCTGGTGCCCATGCTTGCGTGACAACAGGAGTGTTCTCAGTGCCACTCAACTGTACACTTAGAGTTAAAATGCTAATTTTACGGCATGACTATTTTACAACAATGAAAAAAAACACATTCACAATATATGTATGTCAAGCCATTATGCTGTTCATCTTAAACTTGAACAGTGCTGTACGTCAATGGGGTCTCAATGACACTGAAAAGAACCACCCCAGTGTGATGTGTGCTGTGAGAGAGGCAAGCCCAGCGGCCTCTGGGAGAACAGAGAAGAGATCATGGGGTGACCACACCGAAATTAGTCTGTGGGACAAGTAGAGTCAACCACGTGGAGAAGAGGTGGGGAGGCAGGGGATGGGAGAGACCACCAGTCCATTCTGTCACAAGTTGCCATCGCTAGGATTTCTTCCATCGTTATGGCTATCGGGAAGCCTTGGGACCTGGAGTAAGGGAAGGGGATGAGGAAGTGTGGATGAAGGCAGGGAAGTGGCCTGAGCTTTTCTAGGGATGAGGGAGTAGCCATGTCCAAGCTCCTAGAGATCTACCCAGCATCTAACCCGCACCATGATTAAGCCCCTTCATGGTCAGCGAGGCCCCCCCCAAATCATTGCCAGTATTTGGAAGATGAATTGAAGTTCTTTTTCTCCTGCAGGCCTGTGAAAGTGTGTGCATGAGCAAAAGTAGGGGCTCTTCCTGAATGAATCCTAACTCCAGACTAGCGTCAAACGGGAGAAAACAAGGAAGGACAAGACAGGGGACACAGGCTTCCAAGCAGCAGCCAAGCTGACCTGTTTCAAGGTTGTTGAGGTGCTATTTGTTTCCCAGGACCTGCAGAGGGGCCTGTGGGAGACACAGACAGATGACCTAAGTCATGTCCTTCACTGTGCTCGAGAGAAAAACAGGCCATAGGGATGCTGACAAAGAGCAAAGAGAAAAGACAAAGACGTAACTTTTGGAATTTAGGTCTGTGTTTCTTGTCTGTATCCAAGAGTCAAATTTCCCTGAGTTCAGCAGTGTGGGCCCTGTTCCTCTTCCGGGCCCTTCTCTGTAATGTCACACTGGTAAGAATAAAGGAAAACCAAGACCACACTGTCCTCTGATTTGGACAGGCCCAGAGGCCAGTCACAAGTGTTTCCCTTATGACCCAAAAGAACTGATGAATCCCAGGAAACCTGAAGTCGTGCTTGGGTTTACACCACTGCGCAGGGACATGGCAACCGTATAAAGCAAGATGGCCTCCGCCCAGAGGCACCCAGACCTCCATCAGCAGAGTCTGAAGGTAGCTGGCCTGCCCAGGGAAGGGCCTGTGCTCTGGCTCTCCTTCACTAACTCCCCCAGCAAGCCCCCAACAGTTGTTCACCCCCATCAAACTCACAGGAGGCTCAGCCCAACAGCTGTGACTGACTCCTGCCTCAGAAAGGCCCCTGGAGCCATCTGCGGCTCCACCCTGTTCTGCCCTCCAGCCGGACTCCCCAGGCACATGTCTCCTCTCCTTTGTGAGGAGCAGGGAGGATGTAGGATGGAACTGTGGGGGAAGGGCCACAATAAGGCTCAAGTTCCCATTTTTCAAAGGTCAGCCTGGGCACCTGTAGACCATCTTTTTCAGACGTGGCCTGCCAGTGCCCTGCACATTGCAGAGGGCCAGACACTGCCGTTCCCATGAACGTGTCCAGGAGACCAAGCCCACAGACTGCCCCTGTCCTACTGTCCCTGGTCTGATTCTGAGCCACCAGTCCTTCCATTGATGTCACACTTGCTTCTTTCCATCCTGGGCTTCCTTCTAGCTCTCTAACTTTCCTTCGTCTCTGTCACGGGCTCACCATGTCCATCTAAACCACAAAAGGGTGGGATCTCTTCCTTGATCTTTCTCTCTTCCTGCTCCTTGAACAGCAGCTACCATTCCTTAAACACGTGCAGCTCCCCACTTCCTATTTCTGGTGCCGAGCCCCCTCGTGAGCATCACACTCTCCATAGCCACCCCAAATCTGACCCCTGCCCACATCTCAAATTGAACATACTCAAATCTAAACTCCCCTCCCCATAAATCTGACTCTCCCCACAAGTCCCTCCTTGGGCGGCAGCACACCTACCGATCACCCAGTTTTCCAAGCCAGAAATGTGGGCTCGTTGCCTCTGACTCCTCTAACTCTTACAGCTAATCAGCCCACAGGTGGGCTCCTCCCTCCACCCTCACGGCATCTGGGCCAAAGAATCTCACCTCTCCGTCACCCTCATCCCTTCTGCCCATCCTCCACAAACTACCGCCCAATCCATTGGTTGACTCCCTCCTCCTCAACTCCAGCACTCAGTTGGCCTCTGAGTCCTGGAAATTCTATCTCCTTGATGTCCCCTCACCTCTGTTCCCCTGGCCAGGACCATAGTTCAAGCATCACCATTTCCCTCAGGGAGCAGCTCCTAACAAGCTATGCAGATCCAGCTTCTTCTCCAGTCTGCCCTTCAATCTGCCCAAAGAACCACCTCTCTAACACGCATGCCCGGTCGTGTCGTGCCGAGCTTTCTCGGGGGCTGCCCTAGCCTTTGGGAGGAAGGTCACACTTCTCAGCATAGCACTCAAGGACCCAACTGGTCTTTCTTGGGACCACCTCCCAAGTTCATGTCTTGCTGCATTCCCTTGGTCCCTGTCCCTTCCAGCCAGCCACCCCAAGGGACTACAAGTTTCTTTGCTCTTCTGTCAGATCATGTTCTACTTCCATCATAGCTTTTTGTACCATATTCCCCTCGGGCTAAGGAGCCAGGGTCTGGCGGAAAATGGAACAGAAAGTATGGCAGAGCCCAGACCCTCGTTTCAACTCTACATTCTGCGGAGTCAAGACTCTACGCCATTGCTTGGTCTCGTCCATAACCCACTCTTAGAATTTTCCCCAGAGATGCCTTTGGATAACCCCATTTCCTCTTGAGTGTCTATCCTGTTGCAATGCCAGAAAAATGCAAAAAATAATGATACATGCTCTCTCTGTAGTCCCTCTAAGTTGGAATTCCCCTCGTAACTAGTGGATCTGGCTGAGAGCTGGGCCTGGGGCAGGCTGCAGCGAACATCGACCGACAATGAGCCAAGGAGCCAGGCTCTGATCTGGTTCAACACCAGAAGGTCAAAGTTAAAGAGAAGCACCAGGGAGAGCTTGACACTTTGTCCCAACCAGACATAATTTCTGTGAGTCTGGAACAATGAAGGCACAATGGGCCCCACAGGGAGGCCACCATCTATGAAGTAAACTTGAGCAAACGTCACTTCAAGGATACATCCCCAGGATGACAGCTTCAAGGCATTTGATAGGCAAGGACTCCCGAGTCATTTCTTTCGCTGTTTCCATTAACCTGTAGGGTAGAGCACAGCAAAGCGTCTCAGGACTCATTTAATTATGCAGTCTGTCTGTCAATCCATCAGCATGCCAGTCTCCACACCAGGTGACATGCAGGATTATAGAGGGAAAGGGGACAGCTTGCTGTGCAAGACAGAGCCAAAGCACATCTGGACCTGGCAGAACTAAATTCCTAAATTCTCCACTCCTCTCTCCAAGAGTTGGTTCCTGGAGTTAGTGCCTGTATGCGTGGTGTACTCTCACGGCCCCAGGACGAGCGGCATTACAAAGAGCAACGAAAGGAGGTCCCATAAACAAACTTCAGGGGCGTCTGGGCGGCTCAGTTGATTGTGTCCGACTCTTGATCTCAGCTCAGGTCTTGATCTCAGGGTTGTGAGTTCAAGCGCTGCACTGGGCTCCGCATTGGGCATGGAGCCTACTTAAAAAAAAAAAAATGGGGGCGCCTGGGTGGCTCAGTGGGTTAAAGCCTCTGCCTTCGGCTCGGGTCATGATCCCAGGGTCCTAGGATCGAGCCCCACATCGGGCTCTCTGCTCAGCGGGGAGCCTGCTTCCTCCTCTCTCTCTGCCTGCCTCTCTGCCTCCTTGTGATTTCTGTCTGTCAAATAAATAAATAAAGCTTTAAAAAAAAAAAATGATATACTCTGACACTGCATTGCCAAAAAGAAGCCTGAAACTGTGACACTGGGTGTGGAGCTTACTCAAAAAACCAAAAACCAACGCTCAGGCCTCCTGTACCTCTGTAAGAGTTAGTATCTCCCACAGAGCTTAGCTGTCTTGGAGAGACCCAGCCCCTAGCCCCACCACCAGCCTGGCCCTGGGTCACCTCCCCTCCCCCACCCCTGACAGACCAGGATGTCACAGCAGGGGATACAGGGATAAAGGGTGGGAGAGGGAGTTGACAGCTTTCAAGTGGGAGAGTGGTCCCTTGGCCCACGGATCATGCACCACTTACCCACTCAGCGGTCTCATTTTCCTAATTTCAAAGAACTGGGTCCCTGTGTGATTGTATCTGGGTGAAGTATGTAAAGGGAAAGTGATAGAAAACTCCAAAGATCCCAGTGACTCAGAAGGGAAGCCATGCATTGATTTCTCAAAGGGATGAGGAATGAGGAGTGAGGGGCTTTCCAGAAAGTGTCCAGTAGCCACAAGGTTGCCAAGAGCCTCTTAATCCTTGCTGTCCTTCCCTGAAAATCTGATTTCTAACTTCAGCTTCAAAACACCTTGAACCTTTATAATAGCTATTTTCAGTCTGCTCTGTATTCTGTTTGTTGAATATATGTCTTAATTCACTTACCAGACTACAAGGTTCTTAGGACCACTTATTTATTATCTTTATATTCCCCACAAAGCCTGGCACAAGTCCAACATATTCCAGTTAGCAAATGTTAAATGAATAGATGGGTGAACAGATGGATGGACAAATGGGTAGGTTGGCGGAAGGGTGGACGGGATGAAGGGAAGGAAAGAAGGATGGATGGAATTGATGGGATGGAAAGGTGGGTGGATGGATGTATAGATGGATGGATGGTGGGTAGATGGCAAGAATGAATAGAATGGAAGGGTGATGGATTGACAGGTGGATGGATGGATGGATGGAGGCGTAGAGGTGGATGGATGGACAGATGTATGGATGGAAGGGAAGGATGATGGATAGAAGGGTGGGTGGATGGATGGATGGATGGATGGAATGGATGAAACAGAAGGGTGGATGGATAGATGGATGGGATGGGTAGGCAGGTGGGTGGCTGGATGGACAGATGGATGGATGGAAGGGAAGGATGATGGATAGAAGGGTGGGTGGATGGCAGTAGGTTTCTCAATAGTGTCCAGTCTCTGCAGCAAAGCTTACTGCAGAGACATCACCATCATTTCACTGGACTGCTACTAGACAATGGTTACTAAGTCTGAGAAGAGGACACTATTACCCACAACTTGGGATTTAGCTGGATGGCCAGAAAGCGTAAGGGACTGGCAAGCCTGTGCCAGGTCATTCTGAAGGAGACCAAAGTTTTCCTGATGCCATGCTCTCACAGACTAGATCTTTTTTTCAGAGCCTAAAGAAAAGTTGCTTTACACTTTTCTCTTCCCTGCTTCAAGCAAAATCCTATAGAAAAAAAGCATATGGTGGGAAGGTGCTCATGAATGGAGACCTTGTAACATTGGGGGGGGTAGGAGAGTAGATGGTGTGATCCTATGGTGGTACAGGCAGTGGCAGTAGGGGGCGCTGAGCACCCTCCCAAGGAGGGTTAGGATCCCTTCCCGGCACAGGGATGCCTTGACACTCAGACACAAGCTCGCATAACAACTGCGGGGTGTGGGGGGGTGTCATTATAAATAGACCCTGGGCCCCACCTCTGGAGACTCCAACTTCAGGCCATGGTCCTAACCCTCGATGTCATTAAGAGTCACCCTACCCTGCCTTGGACTGCTGTGTTGGAGGTTCCAGGGTGACAGCTGGAAGATGATTTTAACAAGCTCACCAGGCTGGAAATGATCAGCTTGGGCCATAAGAAGAGCCCATAACCGTATATAGGCTTGCCCAGCTTTTGAAAAATACAATATAAAAAATCTTCGAGGGAAAAGAGAAAAATGAGGGACTACGTATCCTCATGGTAAAACGATTTTTTTTTTACTTGAGCAAAGATTTCATTCCAACCATGAGATTCTTGGTATATTTAAAGTAGAATTCAGTGGGCCAAAATTCTACCTGAATGCATAACTTTCTCCCTGTTCATAGATCTAGTCTGTACACCTAGTGTGTAAGGTGAGACAAATCCATAATAAAATAACAAAATATTGCCTGGCCTTGCTTTCTCAGTTCCTTACAGTTATGAGCCCAGAAAGTGAGTTGGGGGAGTGGAGGGAAGCCTCTTGTAAACGTTGCCTTCAGAGTGAGGGACTTACTGAGCCCGAGCTGACCCTCAGAAGGCCTCTCCTCACGCAGCAGAGATCAGGGGGCATCTGTCTTTCCAGAAGCCCATGCTTCTGGGCCAACAACCTGGTTATTCTGGATAACGTTATGGGGTAGCATCAGCATAACTTTCCCATGCGCTGGGAAACCAAAGAATTCATTGGACTCGTTTTATGGTCGTATTTGCTCTCTTGCCATAGTCTGGAACAGAACCTGCAAGGTCTCGGAGGTGTGCCCGTGAAGGTCTGCTCAGAAGACAAGGAGGTCACGCTCTGTCTTCTTTGTGCAGTGGCTCTGCCGGCCAGGGGACCAAAGGGCACGATCCCAGCAGCCTGCGGCATTTTCCCTTTTCCGGCCCTCTCTGTGGTCAGTGATCTAGGTCAGTGACCATCGTTATGGGTCAGAGAAGAAAAGGAAAATGCAGGTCCTTCAGGCAAACTGTGAGAAGTTGGCTGAGAATGTGCTGCAGGGTTTCCAGGCAAATGAACGAAGGTAGTGCACGTGCACATTAGCCCCTATCAGGGAATCCCCATCATTCCCTTTCCTCTCTGGCTGCCTGATCCTTGTGAAAATCACGTCCTAGACAGAAGTGGGGAGCTGTTGTAATTTCCGTCCCCTTCTAGAATGTTCTGTGAGAAGTCAGTCACACCCAGGAAGGCTTGGCTCTTGGGGCCCAGGGCTATCCTGGCGGAAGTTTATACTATGTTCCCCAGGGGTCCCAGTTTGGGGGTCAGCACCAATAGCTGATAGCCTGCTCAGGGTCAGGGTCAAGCTGTTGGCTTCAGCCCTGAAGGCTGGTGCCACCTCGCCCTCTACTATGGCTTCAGGATTCCACTGGGAAGATGCCATGCAAGGGAGACGATTGCCTGTGAAGTGAGAACTGAGAGGCTATTGACGTAACCTGCCTATCCAAATCAGTAGCGATTGGTGTTACTCCCCTCTGGTATGCCCCTCCCTTCAGTGAGGACACAAAAATCCACGGGAAAGATCCCTGCATATAGCACAGAGAGGAAGGGCCTCTTCTGGGGCACGCGGGACAAGTGTGCAGTGCCCCCATGAAATCCTTTCTGCTGAATTCTATGTCTTTGGGGACAAAGGACAGAGGTCAGCAGAGAACTGACTTCTCGGACAACGTGCTGGGGGTTAGGGTGCCAAGAGCGGCCTCTGTAGGGCATCTGATGCTGGCTTAGTGCTGAGATGTTCACGGACGCATGAAAAACGGTCTGTCCCTCTCACAGACACCTCTGACAGCCCAGCTCACGTTCCTAGCCTGAAAAATTCCTAGCCCTGAAAACAATACCCGCAGTAGCCTATGAACCAGCCACCCCTGCTCCTTTGTTCTTATAGTGTTGCTGGTGCGGGGCCACAGAACAGATCTAACTAACCCCGGCTACAAGCAAGCCAAGGCCACAGGCAGAGAGAAGGACCAGAGTCAGACTGGTCTGAATTCAGCCTGCCCCTGCAGGGCTCCTCTGTACTTCTCCAAGTTCACATAAGGGGAGAGGACCCCCATCCCAGGGCTCCATTTCTTCCTGCAGACGGGAGCAAGGCTGCTGGTCTGGGGCTCTTGAGGAGCCAAAGGCAAGGAATGCCAGGTGGGTCTCCTACAGACCATGAGCAGTCACGCTGGAGGCAGAAAAGTCAGAAAGGAAAGAAAAAGAGCAGAAAAAAGGCCAGAAGGGAAGAGGGAGAAGACGGACAGTAGAGGAAGAGAGGCAGAGGGAAACAAAGACGATGAAGGAAGGGAGAGGGGAGGGGGAGGAAGGAAGAGGGACTCCGGGCAGCCACTGCTGCCTCAGTGTGCCTTGCCCTCCCAGCCCGCACCTGCCTAACAGGGTAAAAGTCTGATCATGGCAAGTACATTCCCCATAATCATGCCTTGCAGACTCACACGGGGGCACCCCTCTATGTCCGGCCTCACCAACCTTAGGGAGCATTTGCTGACCAGCCAGGGACAGACCTGCCACAAGGCTCGAGGTCACCACGCCCGTCCCCGTGGGGTCCGCCCAGACCCTGGTTGGAAGGATACTGTAGTGTCTTCATGTAGGTCTGGATTGCCTGGAGCCAGTCTGGGATCGTCATCGACAGCCTGTAGTTCGGAACCTGCGGCACTGAAGGCTGCAAAGCAGTAGAGAGAGAAGTCTTTATCGAGGAGATGCAGCGGGTGCAGCCTCTGCGGGCAGCCACGGGGCGGGAAGCACAGCAGGCGGCCGCCCGCACAAGGTCTCCCCAGACCATGGGGTCCCTCGCCGGAGCTCCGCTCTGCATACACTCTGCCCTGGGGCACCACGGCTCTCTACGGCCCTCTGTGTTTTGTGAGTGTGAACGCAGCCTGCCTCCCCACAGGGGCCTCAGCGTCGTCTCCTCGAAGCCAAGGATGCTGTCTGTAGTGTCCCCCACTCAGCCTGGCCCAGGGTGTTCACAGGCGCGCCCCAGTCACCCTCACATTTTTACTGCATGGCTGGACCTTTTGCTGCATGGCTACTCTGACCCATTATACTCCGGGACACCACCGAATGCAAGACCTACGGTGCCCTGCACTTGATCTTAGCCAAAAGGCGGAGAAGCGATGAGACCTATGGTGCCCTGAAGAAATGCAACCTGGCGCCACACGTGCCTTCGGTCCTCAACACCACGCCCATCGCAGCCCCTCCCCGAGTCTGGCCCAGTGGATTAGCAAAGACCCCCCTCTGGCCGTGACTCTCCCCAGGTAAGGGCAGCCCATCTGACTCACGAGCCATCTTACCCTTTTACCCCTCACAGCTGCCCAGGCACCTCTTTTCCTCGCCTGCCCCTTGGTCAGCACCCACCGAGTGTCTATGACTGAGCGCACGAAGCTCTAACCACCACCGGGAAGAGAAGAGAACAGCAGGTGACACTGGGGTGGTGGGGGAGGGAATTGCCTCTTCCCAGGAGTTTAGAGCTAAGACGCCGGCTCTGAGACACCAGGCAGCTCTGAGCACTGCGGCCAACGAGGCCAAGAGGGAGCACAAGCAGGGGCTTCTCACCCAGCCCGTCTCTTCCTGGGAAGCAAGGGATGCGTGTGCTTTCCTCCCCCTGTGTGCGTCTCAGTCCCCGAAGCTTAGCCTCTGGCGGGGCGGGGCTGGGGGTGACAGAGACACTCTGTCCCCATGAGCCTGGGGCTCTAGGAGAGCTGCTGCCCCGAAGGAAAGGGGAGGCTTCTCCAGGCATAAGCCACTTAGGGAGGAGCAGAAGGGCCACAGGGCCGATTAGTTCATCCTCGAGAAAACAGAGAAAGGGAGGCCCTGGGGATTTAGTGCTTAGCTGACCGACGGTGAAGCTGCTGGTGGAGAGACTTGGGGACAGTGCTGGGCCGCCTGGCTGGGCCCCAGGGACAGACACCGTCAAAGGGCGTGCTCTGGCTCTCTCCCTGCTCTCCAGGCTCGGGTCCCGCAGCGACGTGGGAGGGTGCGCTGCCCTGGGGCCTGTGGCGGGCCCCTTCCCTACTTCTACACCTTCCACACCTTCCACAAGTTTAGCTGCATTTACTAAAAATGCTACCTGACATTCGCCTCCTCTCAGTGCTTCTCTTTTCTCTTGGCTTTGCAACTTTCTACTTCACAGTAACTGCCCCTTTAGCAGAAAGGAAACGAATCACACACCCTACTTCACAGCCAAGGTGCTGAGTGTGTGTGTGTCTGTGTGTGAATGTGAGGGTGTGTGTGTACACACACACACACACACACACACACACACACAGCTGTTCTGCAAACTCCATTTTGTTTACAACATATCCACTCAAATCACATTTCTGTCTTGGAGAGTAATTTTGGGGAGCAAAAGGTTCCAATGGGACCATTCGCTCACGTGACCCTGCCCCGTGCGCAGGTGTGTGTGCACACTGAGGAAATGTATTATGTATTATGAAATATTTCCTTGTACGGCTGCCCTTACAAACACTAGAAGCATCAATCTTGTCCTTGCTTTTGCAGTAACATCCACGGATCTACCCATACCTGGAATTCTGCGTAAGGACGTGCCAGAGACGCCACGGAGAAGTGAGGAGAGAAGGGGAGATGTGACAAAACATGTTCCAAGCTCTAGGCCAGGGATGAGGGAACACAGAGATGGAGGAAGGACGGAGGGGAATGAGACAGCATTTCTGCACAGAAAAGTGCTGTTTGATTCTATTTAATACAAAAGATGGTAAAAGCATGCGGAAATAACCCCAAAGAATCACCAATCACCTAACGGATCCTCAGAGGGGTGTCCCTTGGCCAGAGCCCTGCCATAGCCAAGGGACTTGGTTCAGGGGTGGCTGTGGGGACCAACCACCAAATTATTTCAACTCCCCCCAAGCCCAACAGAGCCCACAAGACCCAGATGGTGGGGTGGGAAACAGGCAGCAGCTGGTCCTCAGAAGAGCAGCCTGGTGGCGCCCAGAGGCTTTTAAAAACAGCTGCCCGGTTACCTCAGACCCGGCTGAGCGCGTGCGGGAGCTGTGGTCACATTCCACCAGCCCCAGCTGGGGAGCAGGGCTGCGAGGGGGAGAGGAGCTGAGACAGCTGAGGGGCTGATGTCATCAGGCTACAACTCACCCTGCTGTCTGGGACGGCTGGCTGGGGCTCAGGCTGGCGGCCAGCTCCCAACCAGCACCTCAGGCCGCCAATGCCCCCACAGGACAATGCACTGTACAAACCAGGCGGGCTCCTTGGCTGCTAATTATGAGACAGACACCAGATCCGAGTCCCTGGTCTATCACCTACTCGCTGCGGACCCTGTCGAGCTCCATGACCTCTCTAAGCCCACTTCTTTCTTGATAAAATAGGAAACTATCACCTACTTCAAACCATCCGGGCGGGTTGTGAGGATTGTAGGACCTAATGTACAGAGCTGGCAACTTGGCATTGGCGCTTGGTACTCTGGAAGGGCTGGCTATGTTAGTCTTCATTACTGATGTGTTTTCCGGATCTAGCCTGGGGAAGCCTGGACGGTCTGCACTTTCCTGGAACTAGAAGACAGAGTCAGCAGGGCCTGAGTCTCTGCACACTCGACGTGGAACATCGCAAAGATGCCTTCTCACCCAAGTGGAAGAGGAGAACACGGTCACCTCCCCCTGCAGACATGTCTTGACCAGGAGCTAATATCCTTCATTCATGAAGAGTTCATTCAAAGTTTTAAGAAAACTCTTCAGGAGCCCCTGACTGGCTCATCAGTACAGCATGCAACTCTTGATCTCGTGATCATGAGTTCAAGCCCCACATGGAATGTAGAGATTACTTAAAATAATAAAAAAGAAAACTCTTTGGTCTTTAATGAAAAAAAAAAAAATGTCCCGAAAGGTAGAAGAAACCCAGATGTCCTTCGACAGGTGAATGGATAAACAAAATGTGGTATAGGGGCACCTGGCCGGCTCAGTCAGTAGAGCATGTGACTCTTGATCTCGAGGGTCAAGAGTTTGAGCCCCATGTTGGGCATAGCTTATTTTTTAAAATATGGTATATACATACAATGGAATATTATTTGGCATTAAGAAAGGACATTTTGAGGGACGCCTGGGTGGCTCAGTTGGTTAAGCCGCTGCCTTCAGCTCAGGTCATGATCCCAGAGTCCTGGGATCGAGTCCCGCATCGGGCTCCTTGCTTGGCAGGGAGCCTGCTTCTCTCGCTGCCTCTGCCTGCCATTTACCCTGCTTGTGTGTACTCTCTCTCTCTCTTTCTGACAAATAAATAAAATCTACAAAAAAATAAAATAAAATAAAAATAAAATTTTAAAAAGGACATTTTGACACAAGCTACATGATGAACCTTGACACAAGCTACAACGTGATAAACCTTGAGGACATACTAAGTGAAATAAGCAAAACACAGAAGGACAAATACTATATGATACCTCTTACACCGTCATCCCCCTTTACCCGCGGGGCATACACTCTGAGGCCCCCCCACAGATGCCTGAATTTGCAGATAGTGCCAAGCCCTAAATATATTGTTTTTCTCCCCATGCATACATATACCTATGATAAAGTTTCATTTATAAATTAGGCCTGGTAAGGAGATTAAAACAATCAGTAAAATAGGACAAATATAACAACATACTCTAATAAAAATTATGTGAATATGATCGTTTTCAAAATCTCTAATTATAGTATATTCACCCTTCTTGACATAGGAGGTGATGAAATGCCTACATAATGAGACAAACCGAGGGGAATGACGTAAGGCATCGTGACCTGGCGTTAGGTTACTGTTGACCTTCTGACCAAAGGTCAGAAAGAGGATCGCCTGCTTCCAGAGGGCAGGGAACCATGGACCACAGAAACCGTAGAAAGCGGAAGAGTGGAAAAGAGGGGCCAACTGTCGGAGGCTCCCACAGCAATCAAATTCATACAGACAGAAAGCCCAAGGGTGGTTGCCAGGGACTGAGGGGTGGGAGGAAGACGGAGTTAACGTTGAATAGGTACAAAGTTTCAGCCAGGGAAGAAGGAAAACTTCTGGAGATGGAACACAACAGTGAGAATTACTTAATGCACAGAACTGTACACTTAAAGGTGGTTAAAATGGTAAAATTAGGTTATGGATATTTTACCATAATTTTAAAAAGTCATGAAAAGACAATTCACAAAAAAAGTGAATATTCAAAAAAGAATTTCAAGCTCACTAATAATTTAAGAAATGCAAAGTAAAGGGGTGCCTGAGTGGTTCAGTGGGTTCAGTGTCTGCCTTCGGCTCAGGTCATGATCCCAGGGTCCTGGGACGGAGTCCTGCATCGGGCTCCCTGCTCAGGGGAGAGCCTGCTTCTCCCTCTCCCTCTGCCTGCTGCTCCCCCTGCTTGTCCTCTCTCTCTCTCTCTCTCTGACAAATAAATAAATAAAAGCTTAAAAGAAAGAAATGCAAAGTAAATCCACTGCAACATGTCATCTTCACCTCCAATCAGTAGAGCTATTCTGAAATGTGGACACCTAATGTTGACGGGGATGCTCTTAAAAGGCACAATGGGAACATAAATTGCTATAACCTTTTTATAAAATGTGCTTGGCACACTCTTTTTTTATCTTCTCCTCCTTGACAGACCCTAAGAGTCCCCCCTCATGTTATTTTCCCCTGTTTCACCTGAAACCCCAGCCTAGATTTTCCACAGCCCTTCCCCTCAAGGTTCCTGCTGCCTGCCGCCTGCCACCGGCCACCAGCCCCTCAAGTCACAGCCCAGCTGATGAAGGCAGAATCCAGAGGGAAGAGGTCAAAACCAGCCTCTCTACACAGGCCTGTGGTCTGGGGCCCTGCGGGGTGGGGGGCAGGAGGAAGGAATGGGCTGGATAGGAAGGTAATTGTTCAAGAATACTGAAAGGAACCACGGGCAAGGCTTCTGTGGTCAGGCTCCTTCTCATCCCATTCTCGGCAAACAGAACCACCTGTCCAAAGAATGCAGGGAGAAATGATGTCAGTGGACACAGGTGTGCAAATGGCATCCCCATAAGCAAGAGCAGCAGAAAGGCAGAAAAGGAAGCAAGGAGGCAAGCCAGAACACCGGGCACCAGGAATCTTTAACCAGAAAGAATGAGAAGAAAGCAAAGACTTTTGTTGTCCCTGCTCTGGAAGAAACAGGTACCTGTGCAGACACACCAGGCAACTCGGAGAAGCAGCACAGAACATCCCTCACTGGCCCAGAATGGAGCCCGGGCCTCTGCGTCAAGGGCAGCAAGGACCCTGTTGAGGGTGACCTGGTATGGAGCTCTGGGGGGTCTCAACCTTGGGCCAAGCAGGAAGGACAGACCATGGTTCCAGAGGCAGGAGTGTGCTGCCTGTGTGAGCTAGCAGGGGACAGAAGGGGGCCCTGACTGCAAACTCTCCCCACACAGTCTCACACCTCTCTGCTCAGGCAAAGCTGAGTCCTCGAAAAGTGAATTCTTTCCCAATTTAGAACCGACATGAGAATGAGGCACGAAAACATGGGGTCTTTAAGAAACTGTTTCCTGCTGAATCCATTCTGGCTGCCCCTTGATAGGGTCAGCTCAGCCGGAAGAGAAGCAGGAGGAGCGGTTTCCTAGCACACCTTGCTGTCTTTTCTGGGCCAGCCACTCGCTCTGCCTCTCCCTTCTCGTCCTTTATCATCCTCCAACTGACTCCGCTGCTTTTTCGTACTTTCTGTGAAAAGCCCCCGCCTCACCTAGTCAGCTGCTGACTTGGACCCAGTAACCACCAAGGGCGAGGCCTGCAGTCACACATTTAAAAGGAGGCTTGCAGAAGGGGTGAGCCCCCAGACTGCTGAGCCCCTCACCTCCCACTCCTGCCCCCGCCTACGTAGAGGGACCTGGACCTGTGGGCAGAACTTCCCATGGCTGTTTACAAAATGTCCTGCAAAGAAGTATCATTCCGTCCTCCTATTAAAGCTCTGGTACCTTCCCCTGTCCTCCTTTGCTTCTTAGTCTATATCCAATTGCCAGAAAAGGTTAGCCTCCCTGAAACTCTCCAACCCTCTACCACTGCCCCACCACTCCTCTTTTTTTTTTTTAATTTTATTTATTTATTTGACAGAGAGAGAGAGAGATCACAAGTAGGCAGAGAGGCAGGCAGAGAGGGAGGGGGAAGCAGGCTCCCTGTTGAGCAGAGAGCCTGATTCGGGGCTCGATCCCAGGACCCTGAGATCATGACCTGAGCCGAAGGCAGAGGCTTTAACCCACTGACCCACCTAGGCGCCCCCACCACTCCTCTTCTATACAAAGTCCTCAGCAAGACACTTGCTAAAGGAGAAAAGGACACAGACCCAAAGAAAAAAATCTGTCCAGCTGAGAGCAAGAACAGCCCTTGGACTGTTCAAAGAAGTGGTCCCTGGAACCAAAAGCTGTTTTGAAGCTGTTTCCCGTCTCAGGACCTAGGTAGGAGTCAGGGGTTGGGGAAGGTCAGGACCTGGGAGAAGGGGATACGGAGATGGAGTCAGAGAACACGCTATTATGATGCAACGTAAGAGAGAGAAATATTAAGTTCAGGTTCAAAAAGCCAAGGTCCGCATTTGACCTGTGGTTTTTCCGGCTTGGCGGGAGTTCTGCTGTGACTTCAGGTTGCTGTGAAAAGATAAGACGGTGTGGTTGCTATGTAAAAAAGGGAACTTTTTTTTTTTTTTTTAAGAACACATCATTCAGCCACAATAATGGAAACATCAGGTACGGGTCTCAGGGGAAAGTAATCTGTGTTTTAAACCACTCAGACAACATTGAGAATATTGTGTTTCGTAGGTGCTTATTTTAGAGGACTGACTGCTGACAAACTAGCAAATGTCCTAGAAAGAGGGTGAGGAGAGTGCTTTGATCTGGGAACTGTGACACTAAGACACAGTGAAAGGAGCTACGTGAGGACAAAGAACTAAAGGAAGATGCAGAATGACGGAAGGTCACGGTCCTGAGGACTTGTTCTAAGTCAACTCTGTTATCACACAGCTCAGCATTGGAGATATGGAGACACGTGGGTCATATCATCAAGGGACTGAAGAGCTGGAAGGAACTTGATATGAAATCTTGTCGATTCCCATTTTACAGATGAGAAAACTAAGGCCAGAGTTTTGTGTTTTGTTTTGTTTTTTTTAAGTGAGTGAGGCCACAAAGCCAGAGGCAGCACAACCAGGACTAGAATTCAGTCCCTTGATTTTTACTCCAAGAAGGCTGTGTTGTAATATTCTAGGGAGCTATGAATAGCGAAGGAGGTAGGGGTGTGCTGCTCTGATTCAAAGGGCAACCCAACAATTAGTGGTCACATGGGGCTGAAGGTGAAAAAGGAGAATTTCTGTGCCACTGAAGACAAGAGTTTCCCAACCACTAACACCCAAATCTGGCCAGGCCCTGGGCGAGCTGCCCTGTGAGGTGATGAGCTCCCCAACCCCACGAGGTCTCTGGGAAGAAGGGATTCTGCTGAGAAAGGAGAGAGCAGTCTCCACCAAAACAAACACTTCCTGATTCCTAGGGAGAAAAGGGGTCTGCACACACAAGGCCAGGAGAAAGACAAAGCCACAGTTAGCAGAAGGGTCAGCGGTCGGGAGCTGAATTAGATTTGCAGCATGGGACAGCAGGAACAGGCCTCGGTCCCCTGTGGCCACCTCTCTTCCAGGGCTAAAGGGCTCCCAGGTCCTCCTTAAGTAAAGCAAGCCTCAGTCAAGTAAGGACAAAAATCTGAAGTCAGAACTGCCAGCCAAGACCTGCGTTGTTCTCCTGCTCAAGGAAAGCCCAGCAGGGGTAAATCACAGCTAGCAACAAAGCAAGAAAGGTCCTCATTGGGCATAGTGAAGGGCTCCTTGACCTGCTGCAATAAAGCACTAACTGACTGCAACAGGAAGCTTCTGGGCCCTGTCACTCCCCCCAAGGGCACACGCAGCTCTCTGGCCTGCAGGGCTCAGATGCTCAGGTCACCAGATGCTCCAGGTTGGGGACTCAGCCAGATGGCCTTTCAGGTCTCAGGTCTGGCATTCCTAGACCAGTCCAGAAATCTTCTCAGCCACACCAGTGTCCCCAGGGGGCAATGAAAACCATCTGCCATGCCATCACCCCCAGGCTCTGCAGCATTTCTCCGCAGCTTGCTTTCTGAGGTCCCATAGAGTGACCACCACACATCTCCCTCCCTCCGTCTTACTAACTATATCCTTGGCCACCAGACTCAGTCTGCTTGCTGGCTTCTTTCCAAGGTAGAAAGAGTTTTGCTCCTGAGCCCCCATCTCTATCCAGGGAGACTAATGCATCATGTGCACTGGAAAGTCCCTTTTAAGCGATAGCCAAAACTCTTCTTTTTTTTTTTTTTTTCTTGGAGCTCAGATAAGCTGAGAAAAGAGACAGTTCACTGCTTTGCAAGTTTCAGAGGTGAAAGTCACTGTCATGAAAAAAAGAATTGGCAAAAAGTCTAGAAATGATTCACGCTGAGAAATCTGACTGGTTAATTGCAAAATTCATTCACAGCCTGATAAATCATTTGCAAGGGCGAGACAGGGAAGGACTTAGAGTCTCCAAAGAGGAAAAGTAGGGTGGGATCCCTGGGGGGTGGGGGCGGGCGGTGAGCATTCTTGGCAACACTGGTGTTACCTGGTGGCTACCAGGTGGCTTATAGCTTTTGCTAGAGGAGGTGATGGGGGTAGCTAACAGGGTTTGGCTGGAGATTCAAAGAACCCTGGGCACCACCAGACCACACAGTCCCAGGACAGCAAGCCCTCAATCTCTCCCTCCCCCATTTCTAAGGCTTCCAAGACAAACCTCTCAATTAAGCAAAGGGGGTGGGAACCGGCCCGGAAGAATGGGGGAGCATAAGGGGGTCCAGAACCGGACCAGGAAAATGGACATCGCCTCTACTTGCTATGCAGATTGAAGTGTTCCCATCATTGCCCACCCCACCCTGTCCATCGAAGCCTCTGACCTTTGCCAAGAAGGTGGCGTTCCTGATGGCGCCCACCATTTCTCCCCCCTTGGGGTGCACCTTGGCCACGTGCATCCACATGCGCTCCCAGGTGTGGCTGTCGATGGGGAAGCCGCTCTTGTTAACGTGAAACAGCACCCCGCCGTCTTTGTCCTCCTCCTCCGAGCCCCCACTGGTGGCGAGGCTCACGGGCCGCGCGTGGCTGCTCCGGGACCGGGTGCCTTTGGCGCCTTTGGGGTGGGGGCAGCGGTGAGTGTCCGCGGCGGAGCCGGTCATGGTGGGGCCGGGGCGGGGCGGGGGTGCGGGGCGCGCGCGGCGGCGGCGGCGGCGGGGGGCGTGTGCGCGCGGGCGCTGCACGGGGATCAGCGCCCCGCGGGGACGGCCTTCTCCATGCCTCTGGCTGCCGCAGGACGCGCGAGCTGGAGCTCCGCTTACGGGCTGAGCCTGAAATCAGTGGAGACACAGCACACACCACGGGTAAGTGGACACCAGAGGTGGGGCGCACTGTGTCCAACGGCGGTGGGGCCTCGGAGTGGCCCCGCGTCACTCCCCTCTCCCCCCCGCGCGCCGACAGACCCCTCCGGCAATTGCCCACGAGCTTGCAGCCCTGCAATTCCCGAGGAAGGCGACTCGAATTTTGCCCCCAAGCTTCACACCCGCCCCCAGACACCCGGAGGGGGATCCACGGAGCGTGGAGGGTGCGGAGTGGACGGGTTGGGAGAAGAAAGACGGCTCGTGCTGCGTGAAGGCGCAGGAGGTCCCCGCAAGGCTCCACGCATTCCTTGGTGCCAGATGTGGCAGAGCGCCAGTCGCGCCCAGAACGTACCCGCACGTGAGCGCCCGGGCTGCCGCGAGGGCGCAGCAGCAGCCTCGGCTTGCAAAGGCGGCCGCGTTTCGGCCCGGAGGCCCTCCCGGAGCCGGTGGGCGAGGACCTGCTGCGGCCCCCAGGCGCCCGTGCAAGTGGCGCCGCCCCCACCCCTCCCCGAGTTCCAGCGCCAGGCACCCGGGGGACTGGCTGCGGGCGGGGCGCGAGGCGGGCGCGCCGCAGCCCCCCGACCCTACCTCGGGCCGGCCAGGGGCCTCATGGCCGCGGAGCTTCTCCGGGCGGCGGGGGCGGCTGCGGGTGCTGGGCCTGGGCCTGGGGCTGCTGGGGCTGCTGCGGCTGCCGGGGCTGCTGCAGCCGTCGCCTCATTCCATGTCCCATTCTCGAATGTTATTCTGTGACATATAACCGAGTCACCCGGGCGGCCGCCGATGTTCTGAACGCGTCCATTGGCCACCGCAACAAAGAGGGGCGGGTCCCGGGCTCGGGACTCTACAACCAGGAGCTCCGCGACGCTCTGATTGGCTCCGGGGATTCCCGGGCAGGAGAGGAGAGGAGCAGGGGGAGCTGGGCGGCCAAGCGAAATCCAATCGCAGTCTTGTCCTGGGAGTCCCGCGGGGCTGGAGCGTTTGTCCGTGGGACTTAAGACCGAGTTTCCCCAGGGATGGTGGCCCTGCGAAGGTGTGCAACTGTGGGAAGCAGAGGAGAAACAAAGCCACCCAAGCAGTGACCCCAAGGTGTGGGAGGGCTTGTCCTTAGAACTTCGTTCCCTGAGGAAGGCAGGACAGTCACCTGCCCCTGGCAGGGAGTGATGGACGGTTTAGGCAAGGGCTGTCACACGAAGGCACAAAATTAAATCTTTTTTTTTTTTTTTTAATCTCACATTACAGATTTTCCAAATCCAACAAGGGGGCTCACACAGCATGTACCTTCTGACATTAGTCTTGATCAATAAATTCCTTTTGGACCCATGCTGACATGCGCTGGGCCCAGGAGGTCAGCCAGGCCTCAACTATTCTCTCACAGTTTGAGTTAGAACAGGGGCTGGAGAGTTACTTGAAAACCATGGAGAAGTGGGAGCCTTTGCACACTCTCCACAAAATATTTTTGCCTTAAAGACGCCTTTTTCTCTCTCTCCCCTTTAAAAAAAAAAAAAACAACTTTATTTTATTTACTTTTGAAGGGGCGGGGAAGGAGAAGAGGGAGAGGGGCAAGCAGACTCCACACTGAGCAGGGAGCCAGATGTGTGGGGCTTAATTACCCAACAGGGAGATCATGACCTGAGCTGAAATCAGGAGTCCATCGCTCAACTGTCTGAGCCACCCAGGTGCCACCCCTCTCCCATTTTTTTTTTCCCTTAAGAGAAAGTAAAAAACAAACAAACAAACAAACAAACAAAACAGATAGGAAGAGCACCATACTGGACGCCAAAAGTCCAGGTTTGTCAATTGGCTAAGCTGTGTGACCCAGGACAAGCCACTTGCCTGTTCTATGCCTTAACTTCTCTTTCTGAAAAGAGGGCAGTAGGATGCCGCTCCCCCAAATACATACACACACACACACACACACACACACACACACTGGAGGTCTATTCGGCTCTAAGGTTCTCTGATTCTCTGGTTTCCTCTCTCAGGGACACTTAAGAAAGTGGCCATAATATCTTTTCTCTTTAAATTCTGTGCCTGTTTTGGGAGGGTAAGCAGTTGTGATAGCAATGCTAAGTTAACCTGGAATTAAGAACATGGTCATCGAAGAGCCACTGGTGGTGGAGGGCACAGTGAGTGGCCGGCACCCGCAGAAGCCCTGGAGTACAGCTGTGAGCCAGGGCCTGGGCCAGGAGACCTGGTTCTGAGCAATGAGAACAATAATGTAGGTCCATTCAGACTACAAGAAGTGAGCCAATTCAGAAAACTGTCTGAATGATGCAAATGAAACAGCACCTTTGAAAAAAAAATCAGGAAACTGAAAGAAAATTATCCTCTCACCATATAATTGCTTCAGGTTTCATTTTTCCATTGAAAGAACACGCGCCTCAGGGAGTGATCTGCTCTCATCTTGAACATCCTTCCCCTGCTCCCTCCCCTCTCCAGTCCACCCCCTCTCCTCACTTCCTCTGAGTTTCTAGTCTCCAAGGCGACATGAAGATGAGGACCTTGTGCCCAGGATGTGAATTTGGCCTCATAGTCCCACAGGAGAAAATGGAGCTCTCAAAGCCCAAGTGATCAGTTGGCAAAAATCGAAGAACGTCTGGCAAGTTTCACCTTCCTTGGCATCAATTCCCAGTGTCCCACTCAGGCCAAGTCCAAACAAGTACAATCACCTGTTATACCAGGGCCTGGATCCTGCTGTACCTGAATCAAATCCTATGGACCAGAGAGGTTTATCAGTTCTTGTTCCTGCTCCAGGCACCCCGGAACTCCCTGACAGTTGGGAGGAAAGCATTTGTTGTTCATCTCCCAAATTCCAGCTGTCCGTTCTCTTCTTCCCTGGGGCGGGGTGCCATAGGGACCCAAGTGACATGGCGTATGAAGAGAGCTAGGAGATTTGGCTACTTTTCCTGAAAGGTGATAAGAAGGCTTCTGAACCGAACTGTGCCGTCCCAGTGAAGGACTGAGAGACAGAGGGCCCTTTTTTTGAGAAATGTTTTGCATTACAGAACTGTGCTCATTGCATGGACCAGCCAGCTCTAGTCTTCATTTCCTTGTGTACTTAGTGTTACATAACACTGAACCCAGGCCAGACAGATGATGGGTTTTGAAAGTTCAAGCAGTAAGGGTGGTGTGGCCATATAGACACACACAGTGGGACCCAGAGCCAACTTGTGATTTGAACAGGGACACATGGTGACTAGATGCTCAGCCTCTGAGAGCATGGTCATTGCCGTCTGAGGGCATAATGACCGGACTAGCAGACATGTGTAGTGGAAGGTTTGGAGCAAGAAAAGCAGGTCAATAGTGTCTCCTTTTTCAAGTGCCAGCTGCTGGGGTCTCAGAGGTATTTCAGACAAAATCCCACCTGAGGGTCTGTATATCTAGCTCCAGCACTTGTTGATGTTAATAGCCTGGTTAATAGCACGGATTGAACACACCTTGGCTAGAGTCGCCTTTCTCCGGGCTCCACAGCTGCCTCCACAGGCAGCCCGATCGGTTCAGTCATCTGGAAGGGACCAGTCACCTGTCCCAGGCAGGACCCTCTTGGTGGCTGCTGCACAGACAGGCTGGCCAGCCCCACGTGCGGATGGACTTCTAGACTCAGAAGGGGCTGGATGATGCCTCTGAAGGAATCAATTCCTTTCGATCGGTGAAAAACAGCAGGTGAGAGACAGCTGGGCTGGTAAGTTCATTCTTCGTCCTCCCTTTCTGTGGACAGCTCCGAGGCGTGCTTTTCCGGCAGAGCCTGTCTGGAGATGTCCCCCTCGGCTGAGCACACATCCCTACCGAGTGACCAGCCTCGGCTCCCGGCAGCCGGCCGTGACGCAGCCACCAGTGTGAGAACGTCCCACCTTCCACTGCTGCTCATCCTTTCCTCTCCTGGTTCCCTCTCGTGCTCACTCTGGCTGTGTTCTCTGGCAGATTTGCGTGTTGCTTCAGATTCAGCTTTTCCAGGAAACCGAGCTAAAACAATGGGTTCCACAAGTGGTTCTAGAAAGCAAGTGCTCAGGATGGATTTCGGGGTTATCTGGCCTCCCCGTCTGAAATCGGTAGAACCCTTCGCTGGTGATAAGAGGGAAGGCTAGAGCTCTGATATGCGGGATCTCCGCACATTTCACATGTGTTTAATCGGAGTGAATTGGGGGGAGAGCAAGACATTAGGAGATCGAGTAGCTGTGGCAAGTCCATCGGTTTGGAAACAATGATAATTATAAGGTATGAGAGACCTTGAACAGAAAATGACAGGCTCGGTGCCATTAATTACTTGTTCATGGAATGCTCTGAAAGCCAGAGAGCCTCCTCGGCAAGTTTAAGAGTCTTACTTCCTGCTGCATAAAATCAAACCCAGGACCTGATCACACAGGAGCAGAACTGCAAAGGATCCTAAATACATGGCCTTCGCAGGCTTCCGTGTCAGGGTCAGAGGCCTGATAGGGAAAGAGTGGGACCCGGGGTCCTGGAATAGGGCTGTCTCAGTGGATTAAAGTTCTGGACCCTTCGAATCCCTTGTGAATGCTCCTGCCCAGAGAAAACCTCCTTCTCAGCTTGTTCTCCTCAAGACCACCTGTTGCCTCCACCAATAGCCAGGGCAAGTGCTAGCACAGGCCACACTGGAAAGAAGTCCCCCTCCAGGGAGAAACGGGGTCCTAGCCAAAGATGTTATAGGGCTTGGCTAATGGGCACTGGCAGGAACCGTGGAAACGCGTGTGCGTCCTGAATATGTTATAGTCCAGGGGCGGGCGTGGAGGGGGAAGCAGAAAGCTCCGTGGGGAGAAGTCACTGATGTGGGGATACTCCTACAGAAATCAGCATTTAGTTTTAGCAAGAACGTCTGGAGCTTGTCCCAATCCCCTTGTTTGTTTGGATGGGTCTTTGAAGCCTCGTCTCAACGATAAGCAAAGTGGAAAAAGCAGACTTCCTTGTGTAGCAGAGAGGAGGTGTCA